TCTTATACCGATCCAACTTCGCTTTTGTAGCTTCTGCAGAATAGCGGACGGATTTGGATTTGTTGTAGGGTGGGGTTGCACATTTTTCCGTTATCACTTGCTCCCGACCCCACTTCGCTTTTGCAGCCTCTTTGCTGGATAACACGTGGGTTTGAATTTGTTGGGTTTACTGTGTACGATGGGGTTTATTTTAACTAAAAACGATTTTGATAACGTATTAAGTCGAACAATATTTCTGAACTTCATTTACTATCATAACATAATGGTTTACTTATTGAAACATTACTTATAATCAAAATTACAACATTTATAATGTTTTTTTAAATAAATATTCCCGTCTATGATTAATTTGATTCAATTATAGTTTTTACATTTTGTCGTATTGTTTGAAATTAATCTTAAAATTAAAAAATTAAAAGTACGCCTTCCCTTAGGAATCATTACTACAATCAAATTCATGTAATTCAAAGAATTTATGGAACTCCCTAACGAAATTACTTATTAGCATAAAGAAATACAACATAGCGGATATGAGATTGTGTGGAGACCGCAATACAAATAAATCGGAATTTTAAAGCAGAAAAAACGTAAAATCTCTTCCAGGTGAAGCTATTTTAGTATATAGCTAGTTTAATTCTAAAGTCCTAAAAAAGTATATTCAGCACGGTTACAAATATTTAGTACTTTATTATTTAAAAGAAAATTAAGAAATTTTTGGGGATCTTTTGATTACTTTTTTTATTTATAAATGCTTATTTGAGTGCTTTTTTTGTTTTATAGTGCTTTTTTAAGCGCTTTTTTTTATGATTTTAAGTGTTATAAGTCCCGAACCCTGGTCATTATCAAATATGTGTTAGTACATGATTCCAAAAATAATGTCATTTTTTGATATTTTACGAGTTATCTTTTATTGTGTATTTTACGTATCATTATAGACTAAATATATAAATAAATAAAATGATATAGTATATACCATATGTTTATTTTCGACTTTACTTTATTCAATGAAATAATACATGTAAAGGTGTTTTTTTTTAAATATTTTTTTATAATATTTGTGTCTAGGTATTATAAATATAATTTTTAAGTTTCTTAAATAATAAATTTTTAAAAAAGTTTCAGTTGTTTTTGTTTGTTTTGACATTTTATTATTTAATTAATGTTTTTTAAATATCAATTCTAATGTTTAAAACTTTAATAGTTGATTTAAAGAGGTTTAACTCCCAGATGAATCCTGTTAATAGTATCGTTGTCATTTTTAAACAATTTTATTAATCTAAAATGAATTCAACACTCAAAATTAATTGAAAATTTTATTCATATGAAACACCAGCGGAAAAAAATATTTAAAAGATCATCATATTAGTTCCATTATTTCCAAAAAGAAATAAAAATTATTTTTGCTTTATGAATATGCTTATTAATAAATTTTGAGAGAGGTACATAATATTTCGTTAGTTACTATATTGGTGTAAATATTTGAATATTTGTCGAAAGGGACCAATAATCTAGTAAAGTTAAATGATTGGAATGGATAACATTTGATAACAGTATAAAAAAACCATTAATTTTCAGTATACTTAAACAATTTTTTTTTCTGATCTAATTGTAGTTAAACTATATATTTTCTTGAGTTATTTATTAGTTTTTTAATACTTCTGTCATTACTATTAAGTTATTTTATTATATTACTATTATATTAAACGTAATATCACTTGTAGTTTTATTATAAAATTTTTTTTATTAAACAACCAATTTTAAAATAATTTTTTTTGTCTGATGCATTTTACCAAAGTATTTAATAATATCAAACAAAACATCGATAAAATTGATATTGTGTTACATTGAGTTTGGTAATCAGTTAATAGTTGTGTATTTTTCTTATATACCAGATATACTTATATATCTTATATAAATGTATAATATTTTATACATTTAAAAATTACGTTCAATCAAATTCCAATTTTTTAAACGAGCCTTCTATTCCATATTCATCTGAATCATATTGATTTTTATCAATTCTCTTAGTTTCATCAACACGTCCATATTTGTTATCATTTTCAAACCATTTTTCGTACTTTTGAAGTGTTTCAGATGTCTGTTCTATAAATTTAACAATTTAATTTTTAATTTCACATAACTCATTTAATATTATTAAAATACCTTTTAGTTCTTCGAGTGATAGTGATTTTCCACCTAAATCACTAGATAAGAATTCTTGTGGAATGATTTTGTAAAAGTTCTTCATGTCATTATGTGAATACACAAAAATCTACCAAAGAAAAATTTTATGAAGTATTATACCCAAAAATAGATAGTTGTTTTGTGCAAAATCATATTTTATGTTTTACTCGTGTGTTCTTACTGATGAGTACAAGTCTCTGTGCATCATTGGTTTCAAAAACATCATAAGTTGACTGGCCAAAGGAGGAGCATTTATCAAATGAATACCGATTAAACGTAATGGCTGGCCAAACTATGTACATATACGTTATTAAATTTTTTATTTAAACATATTTAATTAACTAACACTTAAAAATAAGTATAATTAATTTTTACCAAAGTTCTTGACTTTTTCATGTAAAATATTAATTGTTATAATAAAATTGATAAAATCTATACAAACTTCTCAACTCTTATGGTAGGATTATAATAAATAATTGTTCACATTTAAAAAATATGTAATATTAATATTAATATTATATATATAATTTTAGTAAAATTGCAAATTTATAATTTTCATAGTAATAGTTATTTTTTTAAAAATTATTTCATTCGATATATCTAAGAATTTTAATTATGAAAGAAAATTTAGTTTTGATGCAAAGCTGAAAAAATATTAGTGTTGTGATGGTGTGCGGTTTTTATTGTCTGTCTATGAGAATTCTCAGATCTCACTGAACCTATTTTAATAAATAACAACTTAAAAAAACCCAATTTTATCTAATGTGAGAATCGGCCATTTAATTAAAAAAAAATTTCAGCGAATTTAACAAGTATTTCATATTTATGTGATATATTTATCATTTTATTTATATTATTAGTCTAATAATAGTAAAATTTAACAGATTTGAAGTGTTTTATTTATGGTGATATTTAAACGATATTTAATAAAAATTCTGAAAAGCAATAACAATTCAAACATTGAGTGCGGGCATAACAAAAATGGTCCGCACGTGTTAGCAAAATTATTTAAAGAAATATTGATAACATTTTCGGCGAAATATCGAGCAACACCGCACGCCGTACCATCATCTGTCAATATTTTTAAAATATAATCGGTAGGAGCAGCACTAGTCGGCAAAAAAATCTACAAAAGTTGTCTAAAATATATCTTAAAAGAATGCATTTTACTCACTCTGTATTACATTTACAGCTTTAACACCTATTACAAAATTGTAAGAGGACAATATTTCGAAGAAAATCTCATAGCCATTTTGGGATTAACCTAATATTAAGCTTGATAATTGAATTTGAAAATGTACTTTTTTATTAAACTTCAATCAATTATAACTCTTTACTAATACAATATATCCATAAACGAATATGAGATCATCTCCAAAATATTGTTCTCTTTCGTTTTTATAATGGGTGTTATTGCTCTAAGTGCAGTACTTAGTGTGTAAAATGCTTTTTAAAAAGACATGTTTTTACGCTCTAAAATTGGCTGAATAACGTCCTCTTAATCACTGTCAGATATCATTTATACTTATCTCAACTATGCCGCGTTACCACTAACTGCTATCCCGCTTTGCTGGTTTTTTTTAATATACGTATAGCTTAATCGATTTGAAATATTCATGAAAAAGAAAATAAATTTAATTAGTTTCAATTAAATTATAGTTGTTCGAAGAATATTTTTTTCTAGAACAAACAAAAGTATTGTTTTAACAACTGTAACTAAATGAAGATTCATTAAAATGCATAATTTTTTTTTATTTCCTTTAATAAAAGTCACTAATAATATCTAAAAATAATACTATTATTTTTGGAAAAATAACATTTGTTATCCTTATTATTGGATAATTTTGTATCAAAACTATAACATTTTTTATTTACACATCCATTAGGAGCATATTTTTCAATTAATAAAACTCTACGGTCTGCTTTTTAACTTGTTAAAATCTATGAGATCTTTTAAAATTTGAGAATTTTGACTACATTTATTTAAAATATTTATTTTCTAAAAATATATAAGTCGAAAAATCGACTTGGGTAAAATTACATGACAAATATTTAAAATATAACTATTCTGTTTTTGAAACTACCTGAATGTATGTTAAACATTTTTTCATTAATTTTAAATCCATTAGCTTTGTTAAATGACCCATAGAAAATCCAGCCATATCAATAACAAATCTCCATTCTAGAGCTAAGGGATCTTCATTGATTGACATATCAAGCATTGCTAACAAAAGTCGTATTGTGTCTAAAATATTGAAATTATTTGATTCAAAGTCCCTCAGCCGTGAAAATCCAACTCTACACTCATTAGGCGTTACTGGTAGTTTATAAATATAGCTACAAAAGTATTTTAAAATTATTAATTATGATTTAATTAAGATTTATCCTAACTATTAATTACTATGTATCAAAGGTTTTTTCGAGTTCTTTTACAGTTCTATGGGCAAATATTTCAGGTGAGTTTGTCCTCATTGTGTAATATGATTCAATTTTTTTTTTTGTGCGTTCCAAATTATTTTTGCAACAATTTAAAAATATTACTAGCTGCTTATCTAAAACCAAAAAATGCGCTTAATTAATTATTCGAAGTATCCTGAAACTGTTTACGATTGAAATTTATGTCAATTCGGTAATAATATTAGTTATGGTATTTAGATAAATATTGTCATTATTTTTAAGTAAGTAGCCAGAATTTGGAAAAGTGTTCCATAAAAAAAAATTACTTTCCTATAAAATAGTTTAACCTCACAGATGTAATTTCATTTTGCAAAATTTTAGGAGATTAATGAACTCATCCTCAGATATGTTATTAAAGTTTTTAGTTTTAATTTTACAAGGAACTTATAAATAGAAAGCTCGTTAGTTAATTCAGAATGAAAGTTTAAAAAAATTTGCAAAAATTTCAGAAATTTTAGTGAAATAATATAATTTTTCGCTGTGAAATTAATACTTTCATTTCTATAAAAAAAGCTAAAAATTCTACAATAATTTAATGACGTTCCTTCAATTATTTGGTTGTAAATAATATATTTAATATACATACCTGAAATTTTCGGCAAATGAGGTTGTTTTTTCAACCATTCTCTTATAATTTGAATACTAATCTTATCAACTTTACACAAAAGTTCTACGTCGTTTTTAAAGTACTCTTCTTGTTCTCTCATATTGAAAAATAATTTTTAATTCTCCAAAATAAATTATTTCATAAAAAACTTTAGGTTAAAACTAAATCTTCAGTTAACATAAAAATATTTTTAATAACAATTTGTTATCTAATCTTTTGGTTACGAAAGTAGTATTATTGTTAATGCAATACCTAGTAAGAACAATCATCACAAGTGAATTAGTAAATAACTATATTAAAATAGGAATTATAATTTATCTTAAGTGTTTTGGATTTTATTATCACTAAAAAAAGTTAACATTAGTACTAACGTATGTAGTATCCTGAGGGTAGATGGGTTATAAATAAGAAAATTATTGTTTTAGTTTATTGTAATTTTATTAGGTTCTGAATATCTTTGTACTTCTGTAAATATAACATTTGATTATAAGTTTTTATTTTACATACTAAAAATTATAAAATTTTATTTAGTTAAAATCTATTACTTGCATAACAACTAATTATAAGCAATACTATGATCACTGATATTGATACATCATGAAAAAATTAAGTCATTAATATATCCGAACACCAGAGGTAAATTATCTCAAATCATATTTTTTATGAAAATAAGATGAAACATATTTGAAAGGATATTCAACAAGCTTACAAAAATTAGTGTCAACTCATTTTCGAAAAAAATATGACTTTATGATAGTTTACTACTTAAGTACAGATATTTTTGTCAGTTCACTCTCATATGAAAATTGAAATTGAAACATTTGATTTTTTAAAAACACAAGTTTTTTTGTTCAATTACGGGCAGAAGCCTGTATTTAATAACAATGACACATAGAATGTACCATGCACACATAAAATATTTGGAGTTTGACAAAATATCAATATATTAATTTTTAAAATAAATGCTAAGCTTTACAGTGAAGTTAATTTTATTTTTAACTATCAATGATATTTATAAGATTTTTACAATCCTGGAAATATAAATTTTCCTCTTTTGAAAAAAATCTGTTGGCCGATTTTTAGTTAATATAAAATCTTATTTTTACTTTTGTTATAAAATAAGAAAAAAAACCTTTAATTTATGTTTTTAATGCTGCACCAATCAGTTATGATTTCTAATACCTAACGTATATACATCTGAGATATATTTACGTTACAATTTGAGTTTTAAAACCTTAAAACCTGTAATATACTTAATTGGAGAAATTCAGATAATGATCCAAGATAAAATATTTCCATCAAAACTTTTCCTTTTCTAAAATGGGAGTGATTTAATACCTCGAACCAAATTTCTAAACATGCCCTTTATAACAAAATTTCTAAGGAAACTATGAAAAAATAATTCTAATAACACACACAGTATTGTTTTATTTTTGTAGATAACTAACTGTTAATTTATATCAGCATTATGACAGAAATCACATGTGAGCGTTGTATTAACGAGAGAAATGATGTTTTATCGTTGGGGGTGGATTCTTCAGTCAAACTGTCACTGCTTTATTTCAAGCATTGCATTAGTACTATCATTAGCATTCTGTTTAAAAAAAATAATAATTACTATTTTGCTAGTACTATTTAATATTTTATACAGTTACGGTCTATGTGTATCTAATTAAAATTCACATAATATTGTATAGACTATAAATATATAAATATATATATATATATATGTATGTAAAACAATAAAATGATTTCTTAATATATCTATGACATTTAAAATATATTCTCATTTTTAATTCTTTCAAAATTCAAAAATGAAAAGGAAAAATTATTTTTGTGTTCTATTATGTTTAACGTTAGTTGAATTTGTCAATGGATTATACAGTAGTCAGTAAGTAAAATATAATTTATTAAATAGAAATCACTTTTTTTATTTAATTATCAAAACAATTATTATAAAAATAAAATGTCGGCTAAAAATATGTTTTACTAATTAATTTGTATATTTAGGTAGAATATATATATATACAGCATGGAACAGATCTAACTGATAACTCATATAACTTATGATCTACATTACATTTTATACTTTTTTTCTTTTTAATCAAATTTCACAATATAGGACTATATTTAAAATATGTTTTATGTTATTTTTCGCAATTACAAAAAATATTTTCAAAATAATTTTTTTAATAAAATTTGTTTTAAGTTTTAAGATAGCCACTTTATAGATAAGTTTTAAAAAAAAATTTTGATACCAAAAATTCTTATTTTAATTCAGTAATTACGTTTATACAGCATTTAAGAAGAAGAAATTAAACTTATTTAAATTATTTTACTTTTTTAAAGTCGAAAAAGAAATTTTTAAATTTGAATTAGCTTAAATTGAACCTTGTACCTTGATTGTGAAAACAAAAGTGATACTGTTTCGGCAACTATTCGTCACTTTGTTCACTAATAAAATTAGCAATTTAAGCTAATTCAAATTTAAAAAAAAAAAAAAATTTAAATAAGTTTAATTTCTTATTTTCAAATTTTTTTTTTCATAGTAAAGTATATAATATAAGCTTTAATTGAAGATTAAATAAAACTGTGAATATTTCCGGAACATTTTCAAAAATTAAGTTGAAAAAGTTAGTTTTTGTAAAAAAGTTGCTATTTAAATCCCCCTCAGTGAGCAGGTTAAAGGTTAGATTTTTAAAAAATGATATTAAATGAAAGGTAAAAATCTAGGATTTTGATATAAAATAATTATAATTAAATAAAGCACGTTAAACGTTATTATTATCCATAGAAAAGAAATCGCGTACTGTTACCAGTAAATAACATAATTAATGTTTACTTCTGTACTTTATATAAAATGGTCGAACATTTGATACCATGAAAATTTTATAAAAAATCAAAATTTAACAAATTTTAAAATGCTGTATAAAAGTAACTACTGAATTAAAATAAGAGTTTTTGGTATCAAAATTTTTTTTTAAAACTTATCTATAAAGTGGCTATCTTTAAATCTTAAAACAAATTTTATTAAAAAAATTATTTTTAAAATATTTTTTGTAATTGCGAAAAATAACAAAATATATTTTAAATATAGTCCTATATTGTGAAAATTGATTAAAAAGAAAAAAAGTATAAATGTTATGTAGATCATAAGTTATATGAGTTGTCAGTTAGATCTGTTCCATGCTGTATATATATATATATTTATCATGGTATTTTAGATTTTATATATTAGCTATAAGGTTAGTATAGTTTAAACTAAATTATTGTCAAACGGATAAAATTAATTAAATAATCAAAATTTTATGAGGAATCAAAGCTTAAATTTATATTTAGACTTTGCATTGTGATATCGCAATGTATACGTTAAGTGTTTTATTAAAAGTTCAAATATTAAAATAAATATTTAAATTTTATATAGAACAAAAATCGCATTACAAATCCTAAAATATATCTTAAAATTTAATTATATATCATCCATTGTTTTTATTTCTATAAATAGAAAAGAACGATAAGGTAGTTATTTAAATTATATTGCTATAATACGTAGTAATATATAATATGCAATGTTTTGAAAAAAGTTTTCCGATTGTTTTATTATGATAAATCAGCCGACAAGGTAAAAAAAAATCGTAATTTTTACTGATCGTAATAAAATTTAACAAATTTTCAATGAATCGTTTTTAATGATAGTGATGTTAATCACTGTCAGATATCATCTATAAATTACTCAACTATGCCGCATCCTAATTGTGCCATTACCATTCTGTGAAGGATGTGTTTTACTAGGTTTCTTAACGTGAAAATTATAGTTCCTTTTTGGTAAACATAAGCAACATATTTATAAAAAAAATACAGAATTATCATGTCAATTTTTAGACCTCGATTTCGTTCGGAAAATGGCCATTTATATATAGAAGGTGCTACAAATCACAATATTTCATTAGTTACAAAAGGACAAGGCTTCATTAATATTAACAATGAAAATTTACAACATATAATTACAATGGTAAGGGTTTTATTTGTTTGAAATTGTTTAATTGTGTTACTTCATTCTCATTTAACTTTTTACAGTCTAAAGAAGCTTGGGAGGAAGTAGAAAATTTTCGATCGTATGATTTATCCAATTTTGCAGACTCTATAAAAAATTTTGGACCTTTATTAGAAGGACCTAGAAGTATACTTCAACGTCTTACTGCTTTAGAGATGAATTTGATAAATAGTTCCTCTATAGCTTTGCCCTCAAAACCAGTAAGTGTTACAAAATTATTTAATTTTTAATTAAAAATGACCTTTTTTTTATCATTTATTTAATAGACCAAGAATAAAATCGGAAAGTTTGAAGTAAGAGTAAGTAAAAAAAAGGTTAATTACAACATGTTATTCTGCGTTATACAAAATATCCTACCAGATATCTTTATTAATTTTTGGATCAATGTATATTTTTTGTTACTTTTTTACTTTTGATGCAAAGCTGACGTAGTATTAATTTTATGATGTATTTATATAATATATAAATACATCATATATATATATATTATATAAATATCTTTTTTTGAGTGGTCTGTCACTATTTTTTCTTAGGACTCACTGGATTAATTTTTTATCATAGAACTACTAATTAGGAATAATGAAGGAAATAGGAGTTAATTTTGCTTTTGAATAATCCACCAATTTCTTAAAATGAAACACTATCTACAGATTTTCATCGAAGCGTTTCTTATGATAGTAATTTTAATCACTGTTAGATATCATCTACACTTGTCACAACTATGTCACGCTCATACAGTGCCGCGACCCCACTATACTACCGTTTTTATTATTTATTTTTAAATAATAAAAAAAAAATTTGTTTTTTAAAATTTTAAAATAGCCATATTTTAACTTTTTTCTTACAAAAAATATTTATGGGTTAAAATAAATTTTAGGATAAGTACTTATTGAGTTACAAGAATTTAAATATATAGAGTAAGTATGTAACGGTTGGAGAATTACGTTATATATGCAACTGTTCAAGTACTCACGTTACGTACTTACACTGTATATTTAAATGCTTGTAACTCAATAAGTACTAATCCTAAAGTTTATATTACCCATCAATATTTTTTGTAAGAAAAGAGCTAAAACATGATTATTTAAAAATTTTATTTAAATAAAAAAAATGTATTTTTTTAAAAATAAACAATGAAAAATATACTTTCAACATAATCCAAAACCTTAAAAATTAAAAAAGTAACGAAAAGTTCTTTGGATTATGGTTATTAAAGACGTTGAAACCTGGTGGAATACCTTATACAGTAACTTAAATACCAATAAAAATTTTTTATCTGCTGCAGCTATTCAATTTAGAGAAAAAAGTAACTAATCTCATAAATCTACTGTCTGTAAGTGAATGCCTGAGTAATCCATGTCTAAATGGAGGTACGTGTTTAGATCAGTATAATGGATTTCAGTGTAATTGTCCTCAGAACTGGCAGGTTAGAATCAAAATGTATGATAATAAATGTATGCTAATAATTGTTTTAAATGATCTAAAGTAAATAGATCATTTTAAGTACTAGTTTAGTATCTAAATTCATATTTAGTCATTGAAGTTAATTAATTTTTAGGGGAGGTTATGTGAAGTAGATGTTGACGAATGTGCACGTTTTTTGCAAACAGATTTAGGCTGTCAAAATGGAGCCGAGTGTAAAAATACACCAGGAAGTTACGAATGTCATTGTGCTCCCAATTGGTATGGTTTGCATTGTACAAGAAAAAAAAACGATTGTAATGCAGTAACGTCTCAAGAATTGTGTGGCAATGGAGTGTGTATTAATCAACCAACGTCCCTCGGATACACTTGTATATGTAATCAGGTCAGTATATTTAATATTCATTGGTACCCAAAATTTACAATCATTCTAAATTTAGGGATGGACAAATGAACTGAATATCCCGGCTTGTACGAAAGATGTAGATGAATGTAAGGAAAATAAACACACATGCTCTTCTAATCCACTTGTCGAATGTAAAAATACAAAAGGATCATTTACTTGTGGAAATTGTCCAAGAGGTATAATTTAAAAAAAATGTATTTATATTTATTTCAAAACTTATAATTTTAATCTAAGAATTTTAAAATAATTTAATTATTTTCATTTAAAAGTTGGTATTGATTTTCTTTTTAATTGATTTAACAAAATATATTTTAGTTCTTAACAATTTTGGACTCTATTAAAAATATTTTATATAACTATAAATATTACTTAATATAGATTATGCAGGTATGGCGTCAAAATAATACATGTTTATAATATCTATAGACGTTTTTCTTTTTGCGTAATTTTTTAAATAGATCCTTAATCTTCTAATAATAGATTTATCATTTTAACATAATTTTATTTATATTTTTACATGAGCTCAATTTAACTAATTTAAAAAAAGTATTTTATTAATTTAAAATACAATTAATTGTATTGTATTAATTTTAAAATTATGTATCAAGGTTACGAAGGAGATGGATTTGTGTGCTCAGACATTAATGAATGTCTAGAAAATAATGGTGGATGTAGTTTAGCGCCAAGAGTGCAATGCATTAACACTAGGGTAAATTGATTAATTAGTCTCAATATAATTACATATTTTTTATACTTTTTAATTAAAGTTTTAATATTATTAAATTATTTTATTTATTTGTTTTGTTTTGAATTATTAATATTAACTTATTATAATTGTAGGGGTCTTTCCGTTGCGAATCATGTCCACCCGGGTATAGTGGTGATGGCATAAGCTGTGTTATTGTCACTGGAGGACCTTGTTCAATTAACAATGGAAACTGCCATCCTAATGCTGTTTGTACATGTAAATTGAAAAATATGAATTATATTTTTAGCAAAAATAATTTACAATCTTAAAATATTTCATTAGACGACACTTGCTGTCCATTCACATTTTTAAAATTCTCATAGTCATAAAAAGATAATGTTATATTACAAAGAAATTTCTTTTCATATTTATTTGTATAATTTGTAGCATATTTTGGCCAACCTGTTCAATGTGTTTGCCGGCCGGGTTATACAGGAAATGGAGTTGGTGAAAGAGGTTGTGTAATTTTAAATACAAGTGATATTGATTCAAATTTTTGTGTGTCAAAACCTTGTGGAATTCATGGAGATTGTGTTGCCAACAAAACAAATTTCACGTGTATATGCAAACCAGGTTACTCTGGTAAAGATAAATATATAAAGTATTATTTTTATATCCTAGTAAAACTACTTGATTTTTTATAGGAAATAAATGTGAAACAGAAGTTGACATTTGCGAAAAAAATCCTTGTGAAAATGGTTTTTGCATTAAAGAAGGAAATAATTTAAGTTATTCTTGTGAATGCTTTCTTGGTTTTTACGGACGAAATTGTGAAAATGTTTTAGGAGAAGGTAAAAACCAGACTTTTATTAGGTTTATTACTAAAATAATTAAACATTTGTATTTTAAACTTAACTTAGGTTGTGGTGGTGATTTATTTGAGTCAGAGGGTGAAATACATTACCCTATTAGTAATACCACTTCAACGTATGATAGTGATTTAAATTGTTATTGGACTATTGAAATAAATAATTCAAAAATTATAAAAATATCATTTGAATGGATAGATTTGGAAAAGTCATATGATTGTCGAAGCGATTATGTTGAAGTAAATTGGTAATTGAATTTATGAAAATTATCAATTAAAAAAAATAATTTTAGATAAGAAATGTAATTGGAAGTGACGAAGATAATAAGGCTTTAGGAAAATATTGTGGAAATACTTTACCAGCAAATAACAGCATTATCACATTTACAAACATTGTAACCATACGATTTCGCACAGATTCATCTCGCAACTATAGAGGGTTTAAATTAAACTATACATCAATAACAGTCGGTAATTACACATTTATTGATTTTTTAAAATAAATAATGAATATTTGAATTATTTATTACGATTTAAAAGAACGATTATTTCAAAGTCTGATTTTGATGTTAGCCATCAAACATTTTTCGATAAAAAAAATATTTTGTAATAAATCTAAAAATATATTTTATACCTAAAGAAGCATTAAATTATACGTCTATAATAACGTTATAGTTTAATTAGTTATAAGGAGTAACTTGGATGGCAGGAAAATAGGAGATTTCCAGATGAGCTGCAAAGTTTTAAATTAAAATTATAAAGAATTGAGAAGACAAGACTATTTTACCTAGGAATCGTGCGTCGATTTGTGTCATTTTACTTCATTTAAAAGTTTTTTCAATTCGTCCTGGCTTATAATCATTGATATTAGTGAGGATAAGTTGTATAAAATAGTTGGCAAAAACTTTAAATTATTCACCAACTACCTTCAGTGAATAGCGTAATCAATTTTATTCTATTAAAGACTTATAAATATCGTTCTGTTAATAAATAAATTTTATGTCTTCTTCTTTTTTCTCGCCCTATCCTAAGTAACATGACCAAACCATCCAAGTCTATTTTCTCTTATCTTATCCACGGTAGACGCTACACCTATGCTTCCTCTTATTTGTTCGTTCCTTCTCCTATCTTCTTTAGTCATTCCACTCATTCATCTCTGCTACACTCATTCTCTGCTCTACTTTCTTGTCAACCGTCCAACATTCTAAATAACAGATGGTTTCACCACAGTCTTATAGAATTTACCTTTTAGCCTAATTGGAGTTATTTTATCGCATAACACACCAGACGCTTCTCTCCACTTTAACCACCTGCACTTAATTCTATGTCTTGCATCCTTATCAATATCACCGCTCTTTTATACAACTGATCCTGAATACTTAAAAATTTCTACCTTTCCTATCACGTCCTCGCTTATTGTCACTGAACTCCTCATTTCACCTACCTCGTGTTCTCCTTTTTCAAACTCGTACTCTATATACCCTTTCTTATTCCTATTTATTCTTAAACCCTTTTCTTCAAAAACTGATCTCCAAACCTCTAGCTTTTGATTAATTTGTTCTCTATTTTATCCTATTAACACTATATCGTCAGCGAACAACACGCACTACGGTATCTCTTCTTGTATTTCTCTAGTGATTTCATCCATCACTATAGAAAATAAATAAGGCCTTGATGCATTCCTTATCTTACCCTAAAACCTTCTGTTACTTTTTACCCTGGTGCAAGTGCCATCATATCAAATCTATAATTACCATACACAGCTTTTTCTTCTTTTCTCTAAACTTTTCTATTAGTTGCCACACACAAAATACTGGCTTCATTGTTGACTTACAAGGCATAAATCCGAACTGGTTTTTAGATATCGATGTCTTATTTCTTATTCTCTTACCTATTATGTTTTCCCAAATTTTCATAATATGATTCATAATCTTTATGCCTCTATAATTTCCATATTCCTGTATATCACCTTTACCTTTAAATATCGGCACCATAATACTATTCCTCCATTAATTTGAAATTTTCCCTTCTAATAAGATTTTATTTAAAAGTTCCTTCAACCACCTTATGCGAACACTGCTTAATAATTTCCATATTTCTACTGGCACTTCATTTGGTCCTACTGCTTTATTCTTTTTTCAACGATGCCGCTGCCTCCCATACCTCTTTCTCACTAATTAAATCTACCAGTCCCTCGTTTCACGACATATTCTCTAATGTCTCTTTAGGATACTCTTTATTCAGTAATTTTTCAAAATACTCTTTCGTCTTTTTTTCACATCATCATCACTTTATTTATGTACCCATTTATTAACACTTTTAATATAACTTACATAATGATAATATTTAGACTTTTTTCTCTCACTTTTGCAAGTTTATAGACTTATTGGCTACTTTACCCAAGCGTTTATATTCCGTCCAATATTCTATCCTTTTGTTCTTTGGTCATACTTTAAACTGTTTTTCTTACTCTCTATGATTTTCTGAACGTCCTCATCCCACTACCAGGTTTCCTTGTCTCCTAGAATTATACTTCTACTCTCACCATTAATCTCCTTTGCAATATTCTTTATACAATTAGCAAATCTATATCATACATAATTTATGTCTCCTTCACACATTTTATATCATTCTATCTTTTACCGTCTCAAAAAATCTCTTTCTTTTTGCCCTTTCGATTTCCATTACTAGGTCATCGATTCTCCTCCTTTGTATGAGAACTCCTCATACTTTTTGAAAAAATTTTACACTGACTGTCGATCTGGCGTAAACCCATTTTCTTAATTTGATTATCACCTAATAAACAAGTTAACCACCTATGTATATTTCATTAAAAAAATTAAGTTACTACCCTTTTAAAATGGAAGGAAAGAATGTAAAAAATTCCTCATAATTAATTAATTGGGAACTACATATAAATCAAAAATACAAATTGAAATTAACAATAATTCTTTTATTTTTCGATTATACGAGAGATTTATGACTACAGAATCACCATATAAATATTATTTACACAGATAAATTATTTAAGTAAAATTTGATTTATAGTTTTCAATGAGTTTTATACATTGAACTTTGTATAATTTTATTTTATCATTTTAATATTTTTTAATGCAAATGTTTTATAAGTTTTGTAGAAAAAATGAATGAAAATATTTAATTCTTAGATTGTAGTGAAGTAATAGATTTTGAAACTCATGGAATATTAAGTTCTCCGGGTTCTCCTGGTAATTATCCCCCTAATCGAGATTGTTACTGGACTCTTAATGCTCCACCCGGAAAGATAATACAGTTTCAATTTTTTTCTCTACGAATTGAAAATCATGAAAATTGCAAATATGATTTTTTGACAGTATGCTCTAATGTTTATTTAATTTTTCTTCAACAAATTTATGGAATAAAATTATATTTCATTAATGAACTTTATAGATAAGAGATGGAATGAATAAAAACAGTCCAATTATTGAAAAGTTATGCAATACCTCAATACCACCTCCTTTGTTAACATCGGGTTCACATGCGCATATACATTTTCACTCTGATTCAGACAGTCAAGATCTTGGGTTTCAGATAACATATATTGCTTTAGACGGTATTTTTTTATTATTGAACTAATTTACACTTTTTATTAAAAGTAATATGTATTAAAGTCTTAAAACAATATACTATTTTGATTTTTAACTTGAATGTTTTAATTAGGTATTCCAGGATGTGGAGGAATATATACAAGTCCTTCGGGGACAGTATCTTCTAATGTTTTATTGAGTGATAATAGTCGCAACACAAACAGTTTAAATTGTGAATGGCATATAAAATTGCCACAAAAACAAAAACAAAAGTTAAAACTCATGTTCATAAAACATTTTGTGATAGATATTTCTAAAGATTGTAAATCTAACTTTTTGCAAGTGAGAATTAAATGTTTTATTGAAATTTGATTTTTTTAAATTTATACTTATATTTATATTTATTTTATTAAAAAAATATTTTTTTAGATTCATGATGGTTCAAATTCAAAGGCACCTTTAATTAGTCGTTATTGTGGATCTACAAAATCTGAACAACCCATTATAATTAATAACAATGAAGTTACTATATTACTTAAAGCTGATCCATTAGCTATTATAGAGGGATTTGTTATTAAATATGAAACTAGTAATTAATAAAAAATCATAATTTAATATTTCATAATCAATGCTAATATTATATTGAAATAAAATATTTTATAATTTGCAAGAAGTAAAAAAGTTATATTAGATGTTCTTAGGTTTTAGTATAAAATATGATTGCATAATATTTTAATTTTATTCAATCTATAATTTATTGGTAATCTTTTTTTTTTTCTATTATTTAGTTTTTAATATTTTATATTTTTCAAATGAACTATTAAAAAATAAAGCAATTTTATTTAATGAACCTCAGAAATAATGGTTATGAGTTAAATTTTAAGTAGTTTGGGTTGAGTTAATTTTAAGATAATAATATTGACTTTACTTTTATAGTATGTGGAGGAATATTTACCGAAAAAACTGGAATCTTGGAGTCTCCATTTTATCCAAATCCTTATCCAAATGATAAAGTTTGTACTTATATAATTTCTCAACCTGTTGGTAAAGCTATAAGACTTACAATTTTATCAATGGACATTGAAGATGTGACATATCCTAACTGTACTTATGATTCATTAGAGGTATACTTTATATTTACTTGTCAAGGATAATAGGTTAAGTATGTTAAATGGTTGAACATGATACGCTCAGTCACTGGTTTTATACACAGTTACTGATGTTTTTGTTTACTGGATGTCATTTATTATCAATTATTCAGATAAATAAGTTTCTAAACAAGCATAGATATTATTTTTTTTTAATAGATTAGAGACGGAGATACGGAAAATTCGAATAGAATAGCAATGCTATGTGGCCATACTGATAAACTTCCTAAACTTCCCTTTATATCAACACATAACTTTATGATACTAAAATTTACAACAGATAGTTCCAATAATAACAAAGGCTTTCGGGCGAACTATACTACAATAGACATAAGTATTCTGACATTTCCATTTGTATAATACTTAATCTACAGTATAATTTGTTTAAATATTTTACAAAATATAGCTTGCGGAGGAATACTTAATGAACTTAATGGAATCATTCAAACACCTAAGCACCCAGAAAAATATCCACATAATCAAATGTGCAGATGGATAATTTCAGTAAACGAAACAAGTCAAGTACAAATCACATGGCTATCATTTTCACTTGAAAATCATAGAACTTGTAATAATGATTATGTTGAAGTTTATGATAATAGTATCGTTGGTAATTCATCGAGAATTGCAAGGTATTGAAGTATTCATAATACAATTTTTTATAACATAACATATAATATATGAAAATGTAATTAAGTATATAATAGTTTTCTGCGATTTTTATCTACTTAATTCTTATATTAACACACTTTTGTTTCAATGAAAAGTTCAAAAGATACTTTATTTTTTTATTATCCGTTTTTTTTTATGTCTATGCATATAATGTTTACCTGTCGTTATACTGATATTGTTGATTAATACATAAAAGAACCCAACATTTATTTAGTTGAAAATATTGTCCTCGAAAGTTAAATCAGTTACCTTGATTTTTTTTTTATAAAGGAAAATATCTGTTTTGTACGAGGAAGCTAGACCGTAGGACGGCTAGTTGTGCATCGCACTAGAATGCCGTTTTATCTTAAGCGTGTTTAAAAATCGCTTTTATAGAAGCGGGAGAGGGGCCACTTGGATGGATGACGGCTAACCGCACATCCAATAAGTAACGAGAGTACACAATAATTAAATAACAAATAACCACATATATTAGAAGTTCTTCAATGAGTATTTTAAATTTGAGGAGTAACGGAAGGGAATTAAATGCTAATGACCGGCGAAGCGGCATAAAACAAAATAATTAAACTCAATTAAACAAATAATAAATAACATTAAAAAATACTATAAAACTCAAATGAATAGATGAAGTTGTTGATAGTGATGAGTAGACTGTATGATATTTTGTGGTAGTGGTGCTGTATATCTGAATATCACTAGTCGGAGTGTAGATCCAGGCACGTAATGGAAGATGAAAACAGACAGCGGAAAAGTGACTACGGCAATGAAGTTATTTAGTAATAGTGGTGGTGGTGAAGGCACGAGAACTTTGAGCACAAGGGTGCAATAAACAAATAAAAGATTAATGGCGTACAATGGCCAAACAATACACCATTCATGCGCCTATGCTTGCTACAAAAAACCAAAAAGTCACTGACTTACGAAAGTGAACTGTACATGGAAGACAATTGATACGGAGGTCATCGATTTGCGGTGGTAGGTGGGCAAGGGGGTGAGTAAAGCAAAGACGCTAGAGATCAGCTGTCACACGATATAATATAATCAACGATGTTTGTGACAACTGGTCCACTAGGTCTTTACTAAAGGCGTTCACTACCAAATATCTTTTAAAATAGTTATATAAAAACGTACCGATTTTATCCGCAATCTAAAATTACTACAACTTAAAAAAAATATGAATCTAAACATAAACTTTATTATATATACTTAAGGAAATAATTTTCCTTTAAAAATTCAAAAATAATCGCAAGATAAATTGGAAACTAACTTGCCAATTTAAAAAAAAAATTAGTTAAATTATCGTTTAGGAATGATAAGTTTTTACTGACTAATAATTGATTTTTTAATAGATTGTTTTTTATAAATAAAGTAATCTTACATAAGTATAACAATTATCATTTTTATCTTTAAATAAAAACTAATTTAATTTTTAACTAATAAAACTAACTTCATTTAGTTCTTAAATGATTTTTTAATGTATTTATTAAAAAAAAAAATTAGATTTAAAATTGTTTAATTTTGAGGCTATAAATATTGGTTTTGCATTGAGTATAAATTTTTAATTAGCTATTTTATGAATACTAAGATTCTAAAATTCGACTAAATATTTACTTCTTATTTATTACCAACAAACATTTAAAAAAATATATTATATTAAATTACTGATTATCTATATAATGTTTGGTTTAAAAATAACACATACAAGTGTATATAGGCTTTACACTTATAGAATTTTTAATAATAATTTTTTTTTAGGTTTTGTGGAAGTAAATTACCACCAGTATTGACTTCAATTAGTAATAGAGTTACAATTGTATTTAAAACTGATCAATCAGTAGCTCATGATGGGTTTATGCTAAGTTATATTTCCCTTAATAAAGCACAAGGTAATACTTATTTGTTTAAAAGTATTTTAATTTAAAATTTATATATACAATTTTTTTTATGCAGCATGTGGTGGCAATTACTTTACTTCAGAAGGATTTTTGAAATCTCCAAATTATCCAGACATCTACCCAAATCATAAAGATTGTAGTTGGGTTATAACTGTTCCAGTAACTAATCAAATTGAATTGAGTGTAAATAATTTCACCTTAGAAGAAAGTACAGAATGTCGCTTTGATTATTTAGAAATAAGGTTCGACAATTTTTGAAAAAATATAATTTTAACATAGTTTTTTATTTATGAAGTTAATAGTTTAAATACAGGATATGTTTTCAATATGTAATACAATAGATATTAATTTATTATACGTTAATTTCATTTTAATAGAAACAAGATGAATTAATTATAAATCACAGTTTTATTTAAACAATCAAAGCAAATTAAGATGTTTTGACCTATAATAATTTCACCAGCCGCAAGCGATAAACCAACAAATGGTTTTTTATCATTCTATTATATATTTTTTGGTCTTAAGCTCATAAATTATTTTCTTATTTTTATATCAGCTTTAAATCCCCTTCTTTGAAGTTTCCATGATTAAATTCTACAGGCTGACTGACCCCAAGTAGATGGAATTACGGCGAGAAAAAAGAAGAAGAGGGTGATACGCTACATTTATTATCAATGGTAGTAAGGCACATTGTTGTGAGTTTAGAAATACACCAAATGGCAAATAGAAAGTATATCTATTGATAGCCATAATTCACCATAAACACTCCGTGACTGTGATAACGACGTTATAAAAAACTAATTAGCAACCTGTATTTGTAATCCCTCGTGTATTATACATGAACTATCCATCTATATTAAATCAACATTTTGAACCTTTTAATGTTCATATCTAATAAACGAATAAAGTTATATTAAAAATTCAAATTTCATTTATTAACAAATTAAAAACTCAAACATTTCATTAAATTCAAAATATGTATTTCCATAAAAAAAATAAAGTTGACACCCTTACAAGGTACAAGGGATGAACTCAAAAAGTATTACATAGTTAATAATTTAAGAAATATGCGTAAAAAATAAAAAATAAAAAACCCAGCACAGGGGGTTGCGGCACAATGGTAACGTGGCGTAATTGGATCAAGTATAATGATATCTGACAATGATTAAAATCACTATAAAAAAAAAAAACGCTTCAATGCAAATCTTTAGATAGTGTTTTATTTTAAAAAATTGATGGATTATTCCAAAAGCTACATGATCTGCTAGTTCCTTATTAATATCCTGATTAAGATGTATGTCAAATAAAAAAGGGATATAAATATTATTTCTCATAAAAAAATTGTGTTTACTTTTCAATAAATTATAGCATTATAAAGTTAAAATTGTAAAAAATAAAATCGAGAATTTTCACACAAAAATAGCATTTGGTAGCCATTTTCACCGTGAAGACAAAATAAAGTCCGAAATTTTTTTTCCACAATAACGAACATTACATTAGCTTTAATTAAATATATATATATAAGTGTCAGACTTTCCGGAACACTTTCAAAATTTAAGTTGAAAAAGTACATTTTTTGTGAAAAAGTTGTCATTTTAAATCCCCTCCTGTAGGCAGGTAAAAAGTCAGATTTATAAAAAAAATATACCAAATGAAAGGTAATGATATCATGCATCTATAAAAAAAAAGAATTATATTGATCCATACATCTTTCAAAAAGTTATAGCATTATAAAATTAAAAATATAAAAAATAATTTTTTTACAAAAATCTTATTTTAGCTTCGATACAAAGCTGAGAAGGTATTGGTTTTACTAAGATGTATTAATTAATTAATTTTTATTTTTTTTGTGTCTGTTTCAGCTCTCACCGAACCGATTTCTTTCAATGATACGTTAAAAGATCATAAATCGTATTTAGTCCAAGACATTACCCTCAAAAATTGAAAAAATTTCCTAGTAAATGGGGGAAACCTTCAAAAAAATTACAAATTTAAAAATCGCTAATTTTTTCAATTTTTTTTACTAAAAACTGCCATAACTTTATTAAAAATGAACATATCAATATAAATTTTCTTTTTATACATGCTTGATGTCTTTACCTATCATTTGGTATATTTTTTTTATAATTTTAACCCTTAATCTGCCCACAGGGGAGGATTTAAAAAGACAACTTTTTCAACTTAACTTTTGAAAGTGTTCCGGAAATACTGACACTTTTATATATATCTTAAATTAAAGCTAATATAATATACTTTGTTATGAAAAAAAAAATGTGGACTTTATTTTTTTTTCATGGTGAAAACAGTCATCAAAGTTAATAAAAAAAATACGACTTTTGTAAAAAAATTCTTTTTCATATTTTTAACTTTATAACGCTATAAATGATGAGCCTTTCTCACCGTGAATATAAAATAAAGTACGAAAATTTTTTTTTTTTTCATGATAAAGTATTTTACATTAACTTTAATTTAAAATATATATAAAAGTGTAAGACTTTCCGGAACATTTTCAAAAGTCAAGTTGAAAAAATTAATTTTTTGTGAAAATGTTGTCATTTTAATCTTCCCCTGTGGGCAGGTAAAGGGTCAGATATATAAAAAAAATATACCAAATGAAAGGTAATGATATCATGCATCTATATAAGATTGATTTGGTTATTTTTAAAAAATGTATGGCAATTTTAAGTAAAAAAAATTGAAAAAATTTCGAAAATTAGCGAGTATTAAATTTGTAATTTTTTTGGAGGTTTCCCCCATTTACGGGAACGAGAGAAATTTTTTCAATTTTTGAGGGTAATGTCTTCGACTAGATACAATTTGTGATCTTTTGACGTATCATTGAAAGAAATCGGTTCGGTAAGATCTGAGAAAAAGTGGTAACAGACACAAAAAAAACAAATCATAGTAAATCCAATATCTTCTCAGCTTCGCATCGAAGCTAAAATTACCCTGTATATTAATTTATTTCATAATATAGAAATGGAGGATATGCAACATCACCTTTGATAGGAAAGTTTTGTGGATCAAAAATACTACCAATAATATCATCGATGGGAAATTCTTTGTTTATTCGATTTGTTTCGGATGCATCTAAATCAAGGAAAGGATTTTCGATACACTGGTATGCCACAGCAAAAGGTAATATTGTCATATAATTTTCTAGTAAAATATTTAAAAAAAAGTTATAATAATATGGTATATATTCAAGGTTGTGGTGGAACATTGAATTCTGGTATAGGTCATATTGTTTCACCAAATTATCCCTTGCCAGTTCAAGAAACTTTAGAATGTTTCTATAAAATAGTTGTTACTCAAGGTAGTCAAATTAAATTAACTATAGTGGATCTTGAGTTAACAGCTAGTGGATTTTCTGGATCTTCATGTCGAGATGACTATCTTGAAGTAAGAATTCATAATAATTCTTTTAAAATTTGGTTATAATATTATTTAATGATTATAATTTAACAAAAAACTATTAAGAAATAACTATATTTTGAATTTCTTTGATAATATTAATGTTAATATTTACATTAAAATATATATTAATCCATAAAATAAAACATAAATATCAATATATCGGATGTATCTCATATTTTTCGATAAATTTTAATAAAATCATAAAACTATATGAAAAAGTGTTTTACATATTTCCGATAAAGAAGAAAGGACATTTGAGTTTTTTCGAAAATTACCATAATTTACTTAATTTCGTCCGTTTCATGCTTAGTGTCCTACTTTTGGTGTGATGAATTTGTATACACATTTTATAACAATTCTCGTAAATCGAATTGTTTTTTTCTTTGCATTTTTAATAGTTCTATTACAATAATAATATTTATTTCATAGCTCATAATATGATAGATTTATTTATCTTATTTTTTATTAATAATCAAGTCACTATTTTTATGCAAAATGAACCACTGTAACCAAATTATAGCAATTCAAATAATTAGAAAATCGGATGTATATTATACGTATAACGTATTACTACTCTTTTAATATTTATCAAGTTTTTATTCAGCTAGAACAAAAAAACAATTAAATTTTTTATCAGAATCAAAATGATATATTTAACATACATTTCCATGTATACTTTTATTAAGTATAAAGGAAAATGTATGAAATCTTTGATTATTATTTTTTTTGTTATTAATCAATTTTGAAACTATACTTCAATTAGATATAGTCTATTAAATTTCTTCTTCTTCTTTTTCCTCGCCTTAATCCCAACTACTTGGGGTCGGCCACCCTTATCCTAAACTTCCACTTGACACGATCTCCCACATCCTCTACGCTCACATCAGATGTCCTCATATCGCATTCAATAAAATCTCTTCATCTCTTTTTTGGTCTTTCTCTATCTTTTCTTCCTTCAACATTAATTTCTACAACTGTTCTTACGGCTTCCAATTCTTCTCTTCTCATAACTTGACCAAACCATCTAAATTTATTTTCTCTTATCTTATCCACGATTGACGCTACACCTATACTCCCTCTTATATGCTCATTTCTTATCTTATCTTCTCTAGTCACTCCACTCATCCATCTAGGTATTATCATCTCTGCTACACTTATTCTTTGCTCTACAAGTCTATTGAAATAGTTTTTAAATAAATGTTGTATATAATCTAACCAATATATATTTATATTATATATATATCCTAAATGAAGCGTGACAATGTTTGTTATACAAATTTTTATAGTTTTTTGACGGTGGAAATACAGCAAGCAAGTCATTGGGTACTTTTTGTGCCGATGTTCATTCATCTTTTGTGCATTCATCATCAAATCAAATGTATATTAAGTTTAGAAGTAGTGGACTATCTAGAGGAAGAGGATTTTCATTAAAGTATGCTACAGGTAATATATAATTATCAGTGTTAGTTATTAATATTGGATATGTATTAATATAGGAACGTATATTTAATTTTTTCAATTTATATAACTTTCTATATTATATAAAAAATGAATATATTTCTTATAGGTACACTAAACAATCGATTTTATAAAAATTGATTTTAATTTCAGATTGTAACGTAACACTAAAAAATTACCAAGGAGCAATAGAAATCACAAAACAAGAAACTGCTTTAACTAATAGATGTGATTGGACAATAATTGCTCCTAAAGGAAGTAAAGTAAACATAACTTTTACTTCATTTAAGATATCTACAATACGGGATAGAATACCTTCAACTCTGGGATATTCTGATAGTCGTTGGGTCATGCCTAGGTTGCAAACAGATAACAATGCTTCTTGCAATGCAACAAAATTTTCAGTAAGACATTTAACACAACTTAATAGCAAAATAAAATTTAATTACGCAATATATAGTAAATTTCTTAAATTATTTATTATAATTTTGGCAACTAATTAGTTACACGATTATTATTAGCAATACTGATTATTTACTACTTTTTATTCCTATATAAGTTTTTATAGTTATTTGTTAAAAGAAATGAAATATATTTTATAATATAAATATTAAACTAAAACAGAATACTTATTTTTTTCTATTCATCTTTTTTAATTTAGATATCTGAAGGAGACAATATAGATGAAATTAGTACTATATTATGGAAATACTGTAAGAATGATCCTCCCCTGATTATTTCATCAACAATGAATATCATAAAAATCAGTTACAACTTTCCCTTAAAATTGTCTTTTTGGGACAAATCTGATAATTTCCGTTTAGAGTGGATAACAGATGGATGTGGTGGTATATTAAATCGACCATATGGAAAATTTTCTTCTCCTGGCTACCCTGGAATATATCCTAATAGTGTGTCGTGTGAATGGAAAATAGTAGTTGAACACGGAAAGACAGTCATGGTGACTGTGAATGACTTTTGGTTTGAATCGTCAGATAAATGTATCTTTGATTATTTAGCAGTAAATATAAAAACTCATTTAATATTAAAGTTATGATACATAATAAAAATATATGAAATATTTTAGATATATAGTGGGGAAGACGATTCAGGTCACGAGTTAGTTCGGATTTGTCATAAACAGATTGATCCCGTAAAAGTCACTTCTGGAGGAAATATAGCATTCGTGGAATTTGTGTCCGATGGTGGAATTCAAAGAAAAGGATTCACAGCGTCATATACTTCTGTAGATTCAAGTAAATTGAAATTTAATCGCATCAAATATTTAATTAGGTTTACTAAAAAGTTCGTTTTAGTTTTAGCGTTAAAATTTTATTTTCTAAACATTTGACTTTTAAAATGATAATTTAACATTAAACTTTTCAGTGTTATTAATAAAATAAAATTATAATATTTAAAATTAGTGTAATATAACTGTTTTAAATTATTTAAATTTGCACAAAAATTAATTTTTTAGATATTTAATTATAATTTTCAATGCATGCTATTATTATATTTGATAGTTCTATGAAAATGTTTATTTTTTACTGCCTGTTTTACATTTCAGCACTTCAACAAATTGTATTATCTTACTTGAATAATTTTTTTATAATAAAATAATTAAATACAAATTAATATTTTAGAATGTGGTGGAACATTTACAGCACCCCAAGGTGTAATTCATACATCAAATTATCCACAAAACTATGATTCTAATAGCTCTTGCATGTGGTATATTGAAGTAGCTGAAACTCATTTAGTTAACCTTACATTTGTTGACTTTAATACGCGCAGTAATCCTCGATTAGGAAATGACAAAGTTCTCGTTTATGATAATGATATCCAGGGACAATTGCTTCTCAACCATTCAGGAAATACTATACCTCCGTCGATTGTTTCCATATCCAATAAACTGTTGGTGTCGTTTGAAGTTGGAAAAGGTGATTTGCGAGCTAAAGGATTTAAAGCGATTTATAAAACAGTAAGTGCATTTATCAAAATTATAATTAATTATTATTAAGCTATTTATACTTTTATAAGATACTATAAAATGCACTTTATTATAATTAAATGAATGACTCAGTTATAAATTGGAATTATACAAATAATGTCAATAATAAATAACTATTAAATATTATTTGTCACTTTTGTCAAAAATACTTTACGAAAAAAAATTTTAAATCCAATATTTACATTCTTTGAAATTCTTAATGAATATTAATATTATGATAAATAGTTAAGTTCAGCAGATATTTTGAAATATACTGTATATTAAAGCTTAAAAGTATCTTGAATAAACAAAAATAAATACGTTTCATTAAACAACATAAATACAAAAAAGCAATATCAATTTTTTATGTTTCACGTTTTTTGGTTTCAAACGTTATTGATTTTTAATATTTCACAATATTAAAAAATTATTGATAATTTAATAAAATTCTAGTGGCAACAATAATCTTTATTTCAAAAGCGATAATATATTATTATCGCTTATTTAGATAACCAGCGTGCTGCGGCGAGAACAATTTTTCTTGTTAACTACCATAATAAATAAAATATTTTTTTCACTTTTTCTCAGTTCTCACTGAACCGATTTTTCTCAACGATACGTCCAAAAGATCACAAATTACCCTTAAAAAATAAAAAAAATTCCCTCGTCTCCCGTAAATGGGGGAAATTTCCAAAAAAATTAAAATTTTTAAAATCGGTAAATTTCGTCATTTTTTTTAACTTTTTTTCTTAAAACTACAATAACTTTTTTAAAAATTAACAAATCAACCTAACTTTTTTTATATCAAAATCCTAGATTTTTACCTTTCATTTAATATCATTTTTTTGAAAATCTAACCTTTAACCTGCTCACTGAGGGGGATTTAAAATAGCAACTTTTTTACTAAAACTAACTTCTTCGACTTAATTTTTAAAAATGTTCCGGAAATACTGCGTTTTCTAAACATACATCAAATTAAATGTACTATAAAATGAAAAATAAAAATTTGTCCCGACACCTTATCTTGTACGTGCAAACGGCTGCTGTATTTTAAAAAATGCTATTGTTGTGTTAAAATTTTCGATTTCAACTTTAAATTGCTATAACTTTTCGAAAAATGTATGTATCAACACAAATTGCTTTTTTCTAAATACATTTATTCAGTTTTATTTAATGTTAAATTAAAGCTTTTATTATATACCTTACTATGAAAAAAAAAAAAAATTCGAAATATGGATTTTCTTCTTGATGAAAATGGCTACCGTTTTAAAAAATATGCTATTTTTGTGTTAAAATACTAGGTTTTGTATTTTATTTTAATTTTAAATATCTTACAAAGAGAATACATTAACTTTCATGAACATTATATAATTTAATTGCACATAGAAAAAAAGGTCATAAGATATAAGAAATTAAACTTATTTAAATTATACTTTTTTAAAGTCGAAAATGTAGTTTTTAAATTTGAGATAGCTTAAATTACCAATTTTATCATGTGACGAAAGCAATGAACAGTTGCCGAATCGGTAACTCTTGTGTCTTTCATTCTTAGGGTCTAGGATCATATCCGCCTGTGGCAATTAATATTTTGCATTTTTTTTGAGTTAGAAAAAAATGTTAAAATCATTTGATTTTTATCTCATTTAGATTCAATAACTTCAATAAATATCAAGGATCCCATCACTATAGTCTCCCCATGTGAGAATAAATTTTTTATTCATGTTAACATTATTTTACTATGTGGTTTTTTTTGTGGCTACGATTTATTTTGCCAACCTTCACTAGACCTACTTTTTTCAACGATACGCCAAATGATTACAATTCGTATTAGTTGAAGATATTACCCTTAGAAAATGAAAAAAAATTCCTTATTCAAATAAAATGTAGCTTAACCAGCTTTTTCCATACAAACAATTAAAATCATTCATTTCTAATATTTTTAAACTATTTATTGTTGAATTAGATTTGATATGATAAAAGTATTCAACTACAAAAGTAAATAATTTTATTTTGAAATGTATTAATTTTTTAACTCTATTTGTGTGTGCTACTACTAGTCTTTAACATTCCAAATTTTTTCGTAACATGTTGCTATATAAATCATAAATCTAAAAAAAATGATTTATAATTTCACCTGAATTTAACAATGGATGAAATAAAAAATTTACTGTAAATAGTAAATTTAAAATTTCCTGAATGCATATTAATCTTAACAATGCCATTTTTTTCTATTTAATAATTACAATTTCAAACTTGCAAGTTGAGCTAAAAGTTATGGTAATAAATTCATTTTTTATTAAAACTTCAATTTAAAGGACAAAAAAAGTAGGTTAAAAATGATTACTTTTAACATATTAAAAATCTAAATCAATAATAATTTGAAAACAATTATAAAAATTATATAATATATAATTAAAAGAATTACTAATCTAAGTATAATTAAGGAAATAGAAGTTGATGTTGCTTTTGTAATTATCCACCAATTTCTTAGAATTAAACATAATCTACAGATTTGTATCGAAGCGTTTCTTATGATAGTGATTTTAATCATTGTCAGATTAAATCTATACTGGATCTAACTATGCCACGTCCCAACTGTGCCGCGATCCCACTGTGCTGGGATTTTTTGTTAGAAAAGGATCATGTCCTTCTAGGAATATAATGTATAATGGAACAAATAAATATAAACCACTCCTATAAATAGAAATGATGATTATTTGAAAGAAATAATAAGATACCATTATTACCAGATATAATCGAACAGGATATCTTAGTGTTATCCCATATGAATAGTGGTGACGATTATATTACAACAAAATACTAATTATAGTTTTATTTTTTTTTTATATTGAAATTTAGGCGTGTGGAGCAAAAATTATTACAAATGACACTGGAATTATTACAAATCATGCGTCACTTGCGGCAGTTGAATCTTTGAATTGCTCGTGGACAATTATATCAGGAATTCCTCAGTCAAAGGTTACATTAATACTTACAGAAATCGATTTTACTCCATACCAAACTTCTCAATTAGATAATGTCAGCAATCAAACAGATGAATGTTCCAATATATTATATACATCATCTATTCGAGTTTTAGATGGCCAGGATTCTGATGCTCCAGAATTAATACATCTTTGCAAATCATTTCCTCTTCCACCACCAATAATAAGTAATAGTCCAGCAATTCGAATAATATTTAACGAAGTAATGAGTGGATTAGATTCATTTACTGCTACATACTCTGTCAGATCTATAGGTGATTGATTTTCTTTATTTTATATATACAATGTTCCTTTATTTAAATTATTTACTAAAATATTATTTATTAATTATTATGCTATAATTTAATAAAATACTATGTTTAATTCCGGAATTAAATAAATTAAATTTTTGTAAACTTTAGTATGTGGAGGAATTTATGATTTAATTAAGGGAACTATTTCATCACCAAATTATCCAAACGGCTATCCTCAAGATTCTGAGTGTATTTGGGAATTGAAAGCATCTTTGGGGAACCGATTAATTCTAAATTTTATTGACTTTGACTTGGAACCTGATGAGTATTGTAACGAAGATTACGTAGAAGTGAGAGAGTCTAACTCCATAGGTCCTCTTATTGGCGTATATTGTGGAAAGGGAATACCGTCTAACTTAACATCGGGTTTATCTCTTTGGGTTAAGTTTCGTTCCAGTAATATTGGTACTGCAAAAGGATTTACCGCCAATTTTAAATACGGTAGATATACTAATAATAATTTTATGTTATCTGAAACATTATATTTAATCTAATCTATAATAATTTATGAATTTCCATTACAGCTACTCATAATAATTTATATGCACAGTCTGGTACAGTTTCAAGTCCTGGTTATCCGAATACTTTAAAAGACTATTCACATTATTCTTGGAGAATAACTGTTGAGACAGAAAAGCGAATTCAAATTTTAATTAAAGAATATATATTTTCAACTGGAAATTATTATCAGCATTTAGAAGTAAAAATTAACTTTGGTTGATATTGGTTAAAAGTAAATAATGCTTTGTTTTTTTTACTAAGATTTATGATGGTTATGATGAGAATTCAGTAAACTTACTGACAGACAGAGATTTTATGCCAACAGAACCAATAATAACGAGTGATAATGTTGTATATATTAAATATTATAGTGAACCAAGAACAGATTACTTCAATAATGTTGTATTTTTGATAGATTGGACACAAATAGATAAACCTACAATTAAGTATATGTATCCTTCAATTGAATTTAAACGTAAGTATACTACACTTTTGGGTTGAATTTATTAAAGAGAATACAAAGAATTTATTTAAAAATATTAAAAATTCTATTGATCTTAAAAGGATTATAATTATAATATTTTACAGATTATTCTTCTTTTTCTTCTTTTTCCTCGCCTTAATTCCAACTACTTGAGATCGGTCATCCATATCCTAAACTTTCACTTGACAAGAACTCTCGCATTATCTACGCTCACATCAGCCGTCCTCATATCGCAATCAATTACATCCCTCATCTCTTTTGGTTTTCGTCTACCTCTTCTTCGTTCAGCATTAATTTCTATAACTGTTCTTACAGCTTCCGATTCCTCTCTCCTCATAACATGATAATTTTAAAGATTATTATTAATAAATATTTAATGTATATGTTATAGCATTTAAAATAATCATACTAAAAGTATAAATAAATTAAAATTTAAGCATGCTGAAAAATATACACATTTGTATATTGTAATTAAATTAGTCATATTAAACTAATCAATTTTAAATAAGTAATTACAAGAAAATATGTTGTTTCTAATAAAATTTATATTAACAAATTTACTTAATATAAAATAGATTACTGTATATTAAGAAAATTATGTGATTTATTAAGAATTCTACCTAGGATTTTTTCGTTAAATAACTTTTTTTCATAAAAACGAACCGAATAAAGTTTTAGTTATTTTTATGAACCTTGAATTAATTATGATTTATGAATAATAATTGAATTTAAAAAAAAATTATGTCTGAATTTTATTAAAAGATGACTTACGGTATTTTAATAGGAACCTGTAATTAATATCTGTCACCAGACTGATTACAATTTTATTATTTTTATTAATTTGTCGTTAAATGTGTTCTATTATTGTTTTAATAAATTACTATCTTTGTTATTGATTTTAGGGAATATTTCTGAGTATGATATATATTTGTCAAACAATGCCAACTCTACAGCTATAATAACTAGTCCAGGCTATCCTAATGGTTATGCACCTAATCTTAATGTCACATGGACTATTCATACCGATCCATTAAATCATATAGAAATTGATTTTATCAGTATTGACTTGTTTTCCACTCTCTTTACAGTTAATTATTACTCATGTTATAAAGATTACGTGAATATTGAAACAAGTACGTTAAATTAATTTTGAAACTTAATTTTTAGCTTCGATGCAAAGCTGAGAAGGTATTAATTTAACTGTGATGTTTTTTTTTATCTGTACCACTTTTTCTCAGCTCTCACTGAACAAGAATATAATATTATTTTCTTAATATAATATTCTACATTTTTTAACATTATGTTGCTCTAACTTTTTAAAATATACATGAATCAATTCTATTCTTTAATGATAAATACTTTATATACTAAATACTTTAAATACTTTATAAACTTTTATGGATTGTCATATTATTTGAAAAGCTTGAGGATTTATCCATGTTTGCAGTTGATTGCTGACTTTTCGGACTCATTGCAGAGTCCATCTTCGGAGCGATAGTTACTGCTCGGTGGCTGAAACTATACTGGCAGCTTATCTTGTTATCAGTCTGTTTTTATACGTTGGTTATTTATCATATCAGTTGTTTACCGTATCGGTTGTTTATCATATCTGTTTATGTACAAATGTACAAAGAGGCAATAGAAATCGAAAAATGTCCAGAGAATTTCAACAGAGAAGACGGATGGAAAATAAGCAAAACTTGGTTACCCATCATACACCAGACAAAAAGAAAATTAACTAACAACACTGAAAACAGTTCAATACAAGAAAAAGTTACTATCAACGTAATGGAAAACTGTCCGTGCAGAAAAGGAAGACCAAAATGCCAAGAATGTCAAAAACAACAACAATAATCAAAAACAAAGTCGTCAACAAAAACAAGATACCGTAAACAACATAAGTCATAAACAACCAACGTATAAAAACAGACTGATAACAAGATAAGCCGCCAGTATAGTTTCAGCCCCCGAGCAGTAACTATCGCTCCGAAGATGGACTCTGCAATGAGTCCTAAACGTCAGCAATCAACTGCAAACATAGATAAATCCTCAACCTTTTCAAATTACTTTATATATACCTTTTTTATTCGACATACTTTTTTTTTTAAATCGGACCATTTCCCTTTACACAGGAGGGGTGCAAACAGTTAAAAATGCGTATAGAAAGTAGAACTTTTTCAACTTAACTTTTGAAAATGTTCCGGAAATACTGACACTTTTATATATATATTAAATTAAAGCCTATATAATATACTTTATTTTGAAAAAAAAAAAATTTGACCTTTGGACTTGTCTTCTTAGTGAAAACAGACATCAAAGTTATAGAAAAACCGTACCCGTACATGCGTGCGTGGCATCAATTATATATATATAAACAAATTTTTCTTTTGACTGATCAATACCGCCCGCGTGTAATGCACCTTACGTATATATATTTATATATTCCTACCGCCGCTGCCGCCGTTTATACCTTAGGTATAACGTTCCCCCACCCCACAAAACAAGGCTATACCTCGTGCATGATACGTTTACGTACTTAAGTTGCTTTACATGTATATATATATAGTATGTATATATACTATATATATATATATATATATAGTGTATTCATTCCGATTACGGGGGATGATTTCCGTATCGTCATTTTTCATCACTACCTCCACGTTGCGCGCCTGCTGCTTTCCTTGGGTGTGGTAGCCGTTTCTCAGACTTCCCCCCGAAATCGAACCCTGATTTCCCGTTACCCGTTACAACCATGATATTAATAGTAACTACTATCATAACATCAAACTAAAAAGTTAAAAATAATTTTTAAAAATACCTGACGAAGGGAGTACACTGATTTTCATAAATATTATAAAAATCAAATTGATATAGCATAGAAAGTTAAACTTATTAAAATTTTTTTTGCTTTTTTTAAGTCGAGAAAAATAGCTTTGAAATTTGAACTAGCTTAAATTGCCATTTTTTTTAGTCGACGGAAGTGACCTACGGTTGTCGAGTCGGTAAAACTTGTGTTTTACGCGCTTGAGGTACAAGTTTCCAACCCGCGTATTGCAAGGAATCTTTTGCATTTTTTTCTTAATTCTTTTTAAGTTAGAATAAATTTTCAACTCCTTTGATTTTTATCTCATTTAGATTCAATAACTTCAATAAAGATCAAGGATCCCATCACTGTAGCCGTACCTCGCGAGAAGTAATTTCTTATTCATATTAAAATTATTTTACTATATTTTAGGTTTTAGCTTCGATGTAAAGCTGAGAAGGTATTTTTTTGTGACTATCATTTATTTTCTCTGCTCCAACTTGACCTACTTTTTTCAACGATATGTCAAATGATTACAATTAATTGAAGATTTACCCTCAATAATTGAAAAAAAATTCTAATCTATCTATTAAACAGTTACTTGTCCCATGTTCTCCATACAGACAATTAAAATCATTCATTTCTAATGTTTTAAAATTATTAATTGACGAATAAAGTTTGATATGATAGGTTTCAACTTCAAAATTAAATCATTTTACTTTGTAATTTAATAATTTTTTTACTGTATTTGTGTGTGTTACTACTAGACTATAATATTCCAAATTTTTTGGTAACGTGTTGCTATATAAATCATTTATTAAAAAAAATTGTTAGTTTCTCCTGAACTAATAATGGATTTTTACAATTATAATCAAATTTTATAATACGCTCATTGAGTTAATTTTTTTAACAACTTTGTTTTGATTGATTCTTTTAGTTAAAGTAAATCATTAAAATTAATTAACTTCTGAATATTTTAATTGTAGAATCATTTTTAACACCAAAAGTTACTAAGAAATGATTACTATTATTTCTATTTCAGTTATCTAAAATGCAAAAAAATATTGAGCTTTTCTGATCAATTTATTATAAATAGTAATTATAATATTTTCTGACTGCATATTAATCTTAATGATACAATTTTTTTAATTCTCATACAATTTTTTATTTAATGATGTCAATTTATACTGTGAATAAAGTGATTATGTCATGGGTTCGCCTTTAAATTCAATGATTTACTTATAGTCACCTAGGTGGTGGCGTGTTGTGCTTCAGTGTATCAATCAATCACTGCCATAGCTCTAATGTGTCAGCTGCATGTTTCTGTTAGTCCTCGGATGAATGATCATACAGAAACTGTAACAGTAACAATCACTTTACCATTATACTGACTCCTCAACTATAATGAGGTTGCGTCAGGAAGACATACAGAGTAAAAAACTGTTAAATTGTAAGGTAGAGCCGTCACCAAATAGTAAGGATAGAGACTAAGAAAATATTGACATATAGTCTTCAAATTTAAAAAAAAATGTTATTATTTAACTGTGTTTTACATTTTTATTTGTGCGTTATAACATTGTGTATGACATCTATAGAATTATTAGATTTAGAAATTATAACTTAAAGTTTAAAGTATCTTTAAAGTTATGTGGTTAAAAAAAATAGTTTTCAATAATATAATTAAAATTCAACAAAAACAGTTAGATAAAATTTTTTTTTGGTTGATATGTTCCTTTGATTCTAAGGCAACGAAATGTTTCATTGCATACGAACTAAATTTTAGTCTCTATATCTGTTTATAAAAAATTGTATTGTTAGAGTCTAATAAATTTTTTTAATTTAATTAATTTTGTCGACTTTTGTTATATAATTGTTTTAATTTCTAATATAGTTAATGAAGAAACTGGAAAAATGAAAACATTAGATAGGATATGCAAAAACAAAAGTCCAGGAGCGGCTGATTCAATTATTATTGGAAGTAATATAGTTAAACTTACATTTATTTCGGATATGGCCTTAAATGGAAGTGGTTTTAAAGCTCAAGCAGGAATTAGTAAGATTTTTTAAATTATAGTGTTAAACAAAGTAATTCAAATTTGACTAAATACTAGAAGAAAATTAACATAGATACGTTATTAACACTATTAATTTTTATTAGTCTAAATTTTGTCAACAATTAGTTTTTACTTGTATTTTCTTTTTAGTTATATCTTAAATATCATTACCCCCATGAAAATTATCATAGACAACTAAATTTTTCAAACATTTTCAAAGAAAGAAGAGTAAATTAAATTTTTGTATATAGAACAATAGAATAAACTGTACTCCATTCCCACAAGGATATCTATGATATGTTATTCCAAATATGCTGAGAATTTATTGACATGCAAAATTAATTATTCTTAAAAATAAAAAATATTCCAAGATTTACACAACGTATTTGTTCAATAAAAAACAATAATACGCATAAAAAGAAATTAACCGTTTTTTTTTAAAAAAAAGAAAACAACTTTAAATAACTTTTATTGTTTAAAAATATTGAGGTATCAAATAAATATTTACTTAAATAAAGTAAAATGAAGTGAAATTATAGATAAATAACTATGAAATTGTAGCATTTAAGAAAAAAATATTATATTATTGTTTCATTTTAATATTTGATAATAATTAAATATTAATAAACAGAATGCGGGGGTCATTTGAGTGATTCCTCTGGTATAATTGAAATGAATAACAATATAACAGTTGGTGAACTTTGTTCATGGAATGTTACTGTGCGTTCAGGAAGAAAAATTTCCGTGAAGATACTTAAATTAAAACTCTCAAAGCCAACTACTGCAACATGTTCAAATAGTTATATATTAGTAAGCTGTGAAGCATAAATAGATATAATTTATTAATATTATTTTTTTAAATACTAGTTGTTCAATTTTACTTATATCATGTTAATCTTAATTATTTAATTAATTATTATTTATTTTAAGATTATTAATGTAAATATAAACAGAAGTAGATGTTTGAGTAAATGTCTGTTTTAGTTAAGAAATGGTATTTATGAAGATTCACCTTTACTTGGAAATGGTAAATATTGTGATGGACCAAATATATCTGTGCCGATTACATCTGAAAATAAATTGTATATTGAAATTAATGCTGGTCGTAACGATGTAAGTGAAAAAAAAATATTTTTTTTAAATATATTTACTTATAAAGTTATAATATAATTTTCTTGTATAAGTAAATATTATATTAAGAATAAAGTGAAAATTATTCGTACATTATAAAAATTGATTTACTATAATTTTCTGATTTTGTTAAACAAATTATTAATTAAGATGTTTTTAAAAAATTCACTAAAATTTAATGAAACATTTATTTAAATATTCGAATTTTAAAATTAAAACTAAGTAACTATGTAATGTAAAAATTATTCTTTGTTTGAAATTAAGAAACCTTTCAATATATTTAATTGTTTAAAAATTAAAATTATATCAAATAATGACAATTATATATCTGTGACTAAAATTAAAAAAATAATGTTTCATTTTGAAACAGAGTAAAATTAATTTATACATATAAAAATATTCAAATTTTGTAATAGAGTTTTATTATCATTATCAATATATACATGTATACAAGGTTCATTTATCATGAACTTTTAGTTAATCAAAAAATAATATTGAACGTTATAATTTTTTTTTCTTTTATGTATATGTTTTTTTTATTTATCATAAAGTTTTTTTATGTTCGTCCGTTATACCTTTTAAGGGTGTAAACTTTATTTTTCAAGTGGCAACATTCACAATTAATTAGTTTATTAAATAGATAATTAAGAAAATAACTGGCTGATAACAAATTTTGGACCAGTAATTTGAAAGTCCTTTTCATTGTGATACCTAATCGGAAGGAAGAGTACGACCGGCAAAAGACTAGTGATAAAAATAGAAGCATCTACTCTTCACCTCCAGTCTTAATTTTAAAATCCTAATGACTTCCGAAACATAAATTTGTTATTGACTAGTTGTTTCGAGTACGTTATTTAATAAATAAACTTATTATATGATTTGAAAAAATTAAGTTAACACTCTTTTAAAGTATAAGGGATGAACTTAAAAATTATTTCATGATTGATAAATTGAGAAAAACAATGAATTAAAAGAAACATCACTTATATAATGTAAAATATGTAAAACTGTATATGTATATGTATAATTATCTTAAAAAAAAATACATATTATACAAATGTTTTTTCTTTAGATAATTGCAATAAGATATGAAGAATATTCAGAAAAATGTGGTGGACAAATTTCTCTATCATATCTTTATAACGTCACTCAAATAACTTCACCTTTATATCCAAATATACCACCTGCACATACAGAATGTACTTGGATAATTACAGCACCAGCGGGAGAACGTATAACTGCAATCATTGAAGATATAGATATTAAAAATGACGATAAGTAAATATAAAATTTCAATAGTAAAGTGACAAGTCAAAAAAGATAAGATTGAATTATTTATTAATTCTTGATATGTATATGTATATTTTCTTTTAGTTGTTCTCAAGAATATTTAGAATTTAGAGATGGAGCAGCTCATATCTCACCATTGATTAATCATTATTGTGAACCTTTACCTCCTCCCATTATTGAATCAACACAAAACTATTTATATATCAAATTTTTTACTGACTTAAAGGTACCAAGCAATGGTTTCAAATTAAATGTTTCAATAGGTAAAAATTCTAATAAATTTTTGTAAAACTAAAATAACCAAATAAATGTTACAATTTTTTTTGTAATAGGTAAATGTGGCGGTACTGTAAAAGGCTATCAAGGAGTAATTGCTTCACCATATTATCCAGGCTCTTATGAGTCCAATATGGATTGTGAATATAGAATAATTACATTTGAAAACCACAATATTGTACTAACTTTTAAAACTCTTTCGTTAAGAAAATTATTCTCTGAAGATTGGATTAATCGGGGAAAAGGAAATGAGACTTATGATGACTCACTTACTATTTATGACGTTGATATATATAATAGCACAAGTAGAGAGAATATTGTTTTTGATCAATAAAACATTAAGTTTATTAATTGATTTATTTGATAGGAATTCAAATAGCTAAGATCTTTGGATCTAATTTACCAAATACAACAATTAAATCATCAAGCTCGGAAATGATAATTAAATTTAAATCGTATTCAATGAGTGGACCATTTGCTTCAAAAAATAGTGCTAAATTTTTATTATCTTATTCTTCAATTTACAATGGTATTTAAAAAAAATGTATTAAATTTATTGAAGCAACCATATAACTCAACTGAAATAATTTTTTTGAATATTATCATTTTAAGATGAGCAAAAATGTTAAAAGAACTAGATTTAATGATATAATTATTAATTTTTATTTTATATAAATTTTACTATAGAATGTTCAAATGATTATGAAATGGAGAGTGGAGAAATATTCAGTCTAAAATTAAAAAGTAAAATAACTTGTAGATATAAAATTATTGGTCCAACTGGGTATCGAATTACAGCAGAACTTATTAATGGAAAATCAATTGTTGGTCAATGTAAAGATGGAATGCCACCGCCTAACGTTGGTGAAAGAATAGTGGTAATTATTAATTATTTATTTTAAGATAAACATGAAAAAACTATATTAAGGGTTTATAATAACCCACTTAATTAATAAAATAATAAAAATAATATTGATAATTTATTTTGTTACAAACTTTCCTCGATTCTATCTATCATATAAAATTTGTTTGTATTCATACCTTATTTTGAGGGGTCAACTTTAACTTTTTAAATGATAAAATACATATTTAACTTACTTATTTATAAGATAATGATCTAATTAAGAAAATTTCTGGTCTATTACAACTATTGAATTTGTATTTCAAAAGTTATTAATATTTTTACATTTAGACGGAAGAAAAGGTGTGTCTTGGAAACATAAAAATTATTTTATAATTGATAAATTGAGAAAATCATGAAATTAATTAAATAAATAAATTCAACTTTATTTTTATATTTTGTATTGGATTTAAACACGCTATTCCGATTAAAAATGTAACTAGTTAAATTAAATATTAAATTCCCCAAAATGTTACGTGTTGCTTAGATTTATTAAATTTAGTTTATTTTATTAACGTATTAACACCCAACCTTGGATTTTAGTTTATTTCAGACAGATTTTTTTTGCTCGTCTCATCATAATTTTGGAAATAGGGTCATTTACATTTAAATGCATATAATTTTGTCTGCTTTATTTTTTACATTCATTGAACACCTAGTCAGTACAAAACTGGTTAATATTATTAAATTCTGTTATTAATATTATTTAGTTATAATTGGTTTATATTAAAATTTCACAGTTTTTTTCAAACACTGATAACATTCGGTCATTTGAATCTTGTATTGATTCAAATCCACATTCATATTCACGCACGTTCTTGTATACTTATGAGTCAACCTCTAATGAAATGTACATCATTTATGAATACAACTATGGCAATCAAGTTGGATTTCATTTGAAGTTTAAAGCAAATAAGCCTGCTAGTAAGTGTTTATTTTAAAATTAGCCTGAAAATTAAAATACTTATTTTAAAATATTGTTACAATTAATGATATATTATTATACTACTTTTGCGAATTATGATTATAAGAGCTTTAATATTATTCATTTAGCAGGATTAGTACAAATTATATTAGTTAACTGTTTAAATTTTTAATTAAGAAGAAATTAAATATTAATATAGTTTTCTGGTCATAAACGTGGTAGGATAATTTTTTTGCTTTTATATAAGGATGTTTGATATGTAGAGAATGAAATATTGTATAATAAATACCTTTTTATGGAAAAAATACTTTTTAACTAAAGTATATTTAAAAAACTCAAAATTAAAGTTTTAATATATTATAATAAAATTTAGTATTTTAATAAAATTCTTAAGAAATAAAAAAAAAGAATTTAAAAATAAATAAAAGTTTGTACATTTTTTGGAACGAAAGTTCAAAATTACTTTAAAAATAGGGGTAAAACTGATTTGTGATATCATCACAAATGGAAATTTGAATATTCTAATCATGAAATTATTGATGTTTGTTAATTTTAGTTTGTGGAGGAATAACTGATGCTAGTAAAGGTGGTCAAATTACACTTCCAATAGTTGATTTATCAAGATTTGTCTGTACTTGGGACTTTATCAATAAAAATGGTACAGTTGTTATAGTAGTAAATTTTAAAGTAGCTGAAGTTACGTCTTTTAGTGGAAATCTTTTGTTAGCTACAGATGGTAATTACATGTATTTTTAACTTAATAGTGTTTAAGAAAAACTTATTAAGTTTAACGTCTGGCTTGTAGATATAAATGTATCGTTAATTTATCCTAATATACATTAACCTAAATTGTTTTTTAGAAGTAGTTATTTGAATAATAGAAAAGAATTCTGTTATTGATATTAAATTTTTGTTTGAGCACCATGAAATGTGATGAGACAAGTTAATTAAAATTTAAAACTAAATTAGTTAATATTTTAATTGGGCTAGTCGCCCAGAAGAGTTCATCACATTATTAATATTATAAATTTTACATGAACACTAAATAAAATTTTTTTTACTTCTATTTAGTGTCTTATTACAACTATTTATCAGAATATAAACCAAAAGCTAACTCAAATGATAAAGTTATTATTCGTAGTCCATTTCCAACTACAAGACTCAAGGTTATTCTATTTTTATATGACATAACTCAACATTTTCATTGGAACATCTTTAAAAAAAACAAATATTTTTTTAGATTAAAGGAAATGTAAAAAAAATTAACTATACAGCAACTCTTAATTATTCTCTCAATAAATGTGGAGGTATTATCAAAGGACAAAAAGTCGTGATAACTAGTTCTAATTATCCAAAAAATTATCCTACAAATTCTAATTGTGTATGGGAAATACATCTTCCCAACTCTGAATTATTTAATGTAAGTTAAATGTATAAACAAAAATTAATGGACAGTTATTTGTAAAACTTGTAAAAAACTCTGTGTAATGGAAAAATAATTAAATGATTCAATACAAAAATTTATTGTTATTGTTTGGATATCTAATCAATTATAATTATATTTGAAACCTGTAATAACATGGTATGTAACAATTTTTCAGATTTCATTTTTTATGAGAAATATTGTGCTGAAAATGTTCAGTACATTTTAGAAATTATAAAAGTTTCAGAACAATTGTATCATTCTTAATATTTATGTTAAAATAATATAAGACATTGTTTTTTCAATAATTTAGAATGTATGTTACATAATATGTTATTTCCGTCCATACACCAACTATTATTATTGGAATAAAACTTAATCGATTTTTTTGTTGAGATATTTTTTCTGTCATCAAGTTTTATTTTCTATTTAAAAACTTCAACAAACAAATGATTAAAATATAGTTAATTTATTAAAACATTTTAATCATAATAATTTTTTTAGGTACATTTCAATGATTTAGACATTGCTACACCTTGTGAGTCCAATTTCTTAGCTATTTATAATGGACCAGATTGGGAATCTCCAATGTTAGGGAAGTACTGTGGTAATATATTACCTGAAAATATAGTTGTATCAAACAATATTATTTTGGTAGAATTTTCAACGGATGATGTAAATTCTAAAAAAGGTTTTAATATAACATTAGAGCCAAGACAAAGCTCAGACTGTGGCTCAGTCTATTCCACACAAATGGGTTTCATCACAACAGCCAACTTCCCTGACTTATATCCAAATAACAATGAATGTGAGTGGATTATATCATTACAACCGGGTAACAGAATTAGTTTGACATTTGTTGATAGATTCAATATAGAACTAAGTACAAATTGCAGCAATGATTATGTACAGGTAAGTTAGATTTATTTCTTTAATTTTAGTAATTTTACATTAGACTTAAATAAGTTTCAATAAAAGAAAGGAGTGATATGATCTATAGATTAAGGAGCTAAAATATTCTTTGTTTAAATAGCATACACATGTTAATTAGGGTGTTAAAAAGTAACAAAATAGATTATTATTATTATGAATATACTATTTATACTGAACAACGGAAAACCTTTACCTTAAATATTGATAATAATTGATTCATATAAAATAAAAATGTTAAATTAAACATGTGTTAAAACTATCTAATTTAATTTGAACCTCAGCACTCACAATATCATAATCCAGACTTTAATTTATAATTTAAGTATTATAAAATTTTTTCTATAAATTAAATTTACAAAGATTTATATTTTTATATAAAAACATTTCAATGCTTATGTATCATTATAGTAAACCAAAAATAAGTTTAAAAAAAATTTCAAAGAAATACTAAGAATATTTGTACATTTTAATATTAAAAGAAAATGTATTTTTATATTAAAGTTAAGTTTACATTAGATTTTTAGGTACCTCCATTGAACTAGTCGATCCTAAATGCTTTTTGTCAGATTTTAACCACAAAGTCGTTTTTGTTATGTGCGCAAAAACATTTTAATTATATTTATATTATTTTCGCAAATGACCATATGATTAATTATAATGTAAATTTTATTTTTTATTGTTTGTTTCCTTTAATTGCAGACGGGCTATTTAATCGTTCAGTTTTTTGCCCCGTATTAACTCAACATATTTTTCTTATTCGGATATCAATATTTCTGAAAAAATAAAATTAACTTTGATGCTTAAATTTAATTTTTTTAAATTTAAAACCCTATTGTAGTTCTTACAATATTGTTTTAGTAGATTGATGATCCTATCACTTATTATTTTTTATAGTACTATGAAATTTACAAATTTCTCCATTGTAGCCAAAAATTTGTTGTTATAATATTTTTATAAACTTTTAAAATATACTACATAATTTTAACATGATTATTTTATTGAAAAAACTTTGCTTTGATAATTTTATCATAACAATTTTAATCGATAGTTTTAAATTATTTTAATATAAATTTGTTCTTAAAATTAATAACTATAAATTTAATATTGATATTTTTGTAGCTTAAAAATGTGTTATATAATAATCTTCCTTTTACATTTTTGTTATTATCAAAAAAAAATTAAGTTTATTTGTATTTTTGTACTTAGATTTATGAAAAAATTGATGATAATTGGATTACTTTAGGAAATCGATTATGTGGCCGACAAATTCCCCCTGTTATAAATTCAACGCAGAACAACATAAAAATTAGATTCCGATCAAATAATGCAATTTCAGCAGAAGGATTTAAAGTAAATAATAAATTTCAATTGTAATTTAAATTTATATTCATTAAAATTTCGAATAAAATTTAGGTTAATTGGAAAAGTTTCTGTGGTGAAATTTTTGTTCAAGAATCGGGGAAAATTATATCTCCAAACTATCCAAAAAAATACCTTCCAGAATTATTCTGTAATTATTCGATAATTGCTGTAGATAAGACTATTCGTTTAACATTTAAATCATTTGATCTTGAAGGTAAAAATGTTTTTTGTATAAGAAATAAATAAATATTAATTCCAATACGACAATTAAAATGTGATAACTATTTATTTGAAGACTGAGCAAGTAAACACATTTTTAACTAATTCATTAAGTGAAGTTATTTTACAAACAGTATATTAAGAGAAATTATAAATTTACTTATATTAATTTTTTTATATCATTAACTATGCTAAAAAGAAGAAATTAGCTTGCAATTTTCAGATAAAAAAATAAATAGTTAAATTATAAGTGAAATTTCTCCAAAAATAAATTAGTACCTAATATAATTAAATTAACTGGTGATTTAATTTGAACTTTATATAGTGTGAATGCTTAGACTTGACTTTTTATTAAGTTTTATCTAATGTAAACTCAAGTTGTAATAATTTTAATGTTTTTAATGTAAATTTATCATTTTCTACAAACGATTGTATTATAGAACGTTGTTATTGGGCCTGGCCCGTTTAAAATTTCATAAATAAATAAATAATTTTAAACTTATATTTTTTCTAGAATCATGTCGTTATGATAATTTAACAATTTATAATAAGTTGGATGTATTCAATGATAAAAAATCGACGAATTTAATGGGAACATATTGTGGAACAAATTCTCCATTAACACTTACTTTCAGCGATCATGTAATGTTATTATTTAGAACAGATGAAACTGTTGAAAAAAAAGGATTTGAAATTTACTATGACACTATGGGTATGAAAATTAAAATAAAATCATAGTATTTATATTTTGTCAAATTTAATTATTATTACTTCAAATGTACTATTAAATAATTTTAATATATAATTTTGATAAACTGCATTAAAACTAAATTTAAATAAAAAGTAAATCAAAAAAATTAAATCGAAAAATTTTAAACTTCGACAAAAATGACTCTACACAAATTTTATATTTGTAAACTTAGATAAAACTTGTAAACTACATTTCACAAATTTAAAATTGTACAATTTTTATGTAAATTTGATTGGTTGGACTTATGTGTTTTCTTAAGAATAAATTCAGAAAGTATCCTTAGTTTTTTATGCAGTTTAGAGTAATAGAATATACTCATTTATTTGTAAGATTTTTCTGAGTTTGTGAAATGTAGTATGTCACTTTTGTCAGAGTTTACATACAGCCTGGAAATATTTAATTATGAATAATATATAATTTAGTTTAATATAATAAATAAAAAATAAAAATAATATGAATGAATATATATCAATTGAGATCTAATTTAAAACCATTTATTTACGAAGATTATAACGCAATTATGGTTAAATCATAATTTTATACATAAGGTTATTATAGGGTAATAAATTTTTTAATAAGTTCTTTAAAAATTTGAAATTTAGACATAGTAAAGGAAAATAAAACTTTATTTTGCTAATAACTCGAATAGTTATAAATAAATCAACCTATCTTAGAGTTATTCTATTATATTAAAGTTACCCCTGAAAAACAGCTATTTTGTAAATAATAGGTGAAAAATTGGCTTAAAGATTTTTCCTGGGATAACTATTCAATACCTTCCTTTTGGAAGGACAGTGTGGTTGACTCGATAATGCCTCGACAGTATGTGATATTGCCTGATAAGTACTGTCACGTGTATTAGGTTCCATATCAGGCATCTCTGTTTTTTGAGTAAGTGATCATATTAGTAAAAGCAGTCACCATTCCTCTTTGTAGCAATGAACTAACCTATTGTATCGCGGTATATAAAACTATGAAACAATTTCAATTGAAAGGGTAATATGACCTTTTTAAGGGCCACCAAAAACAAAAAAATTTAACTTAAATATATATTATACTTACATGCAAATTAAAAAAATTATTTATTTTATTATGTACGTCGTTTATAGATAATTCCAATTTTTTTTCAGGATGTGGAGGCAAAGTAAACAACCCTGGAATAATAACTTTTGAAAATAAATATGACATTTCAGTTTATACTGGTCAAATTAATTGTACTTGGATTATTGAAGCTCCACAAGGACAAATAGTAAAAATAGTGTAAGCCACATTAAAATTTGTTTATATGAAAACATAAAAAAAATTTAAATGGATATAAAACATGAATATTTAGTTTCAACAAATTTGATGTGGGATTCAGAAGACCTGAATGTTTTACATCATTAGTGAATATTTATGATAGTCCAATAATTAATTCTAATAAAACACTTGGGCAATTTTGTGATAAATTAGATGGTATAATGTATGATATTCAGTCTACGTCAAATGCAATGGTTATTGAAACTCTTAGCAATAATATGTTAAAAAAAGAAGAATTCTCAGCAGAAGTTATATTTTCATATGGTATGAATTTCTGGTTTTTTTAATTAAAAATATTCTATTACATAATTTTATTTTATTTTTGTTTCATAATTATTTTATTGAATACTAATATTTATATTGTAAATATTCACTACAATCCACATAGTAATTTAATATTATAAATATGTTTCATTAAGCATTAAAAAAATAAGAACTCCAGAACATCCTATTTTTTAATAGTACATATTTTTTTAACCCAAAATTTCATAAAACAATAATAATGTACAAATTTTTTCTTCAAAATAACTACAAATATAGGTGAATCTAGTGGTTGTGGTGGTACAATTAGATTAAACCAAACTGGTAAAACATCTAGTTATGTATTAAAATCTCCAAAAATGCCAGCTAATTCACAGTTAGACTGTGGATGGTTAATTATAGTCGACCCATCATATACTATTCAAATTCAAATTTTAAGTTATATTGAGGCTCCAAGATGTTCTATTAACTCAACAAAATGTGGATGCAGTCACATTCTGGTAAATTTAGATTATTTAATCTAAATAATTTTTTTTTTTAATAACATTTTTTATTGAAATTTTTACTTCTATTCATTCACACTTTTTTTAAAATGCAAAAGTAATTAAATTAATTTGTTTTTAATTATTTAGTTTAACGATGGCCCTGGTCGATTAGCTACAAATATTCACAAATATTGTATTGGTGATTCAGACGTTGGGCCATTAGTATCATCCGGAAGTGAAGCTTACATACATCAACAGCTTTTTGGTGATAATTCAACAGTAAATTTTGAACTAAAGATTAATCCAGTTATTTGTATGTATAATTTGATTTTTTTAAATCAATTTTGTTACTTATTAAATTTATGCATAGCTGTCTGTGGTCCTCGTAAGTTAATTCCAACCAATAAAACACAAGTTTTAACATCTCCTAACTATCCAAAATCTTATGAGGGCAATTTAAGATGTTCTTGGACTATAGAGGTAGAGGACTATAGAGGAGCTGATGTTCCAATAATATCATTACGATTTACCAAAATATCACTTTCGGAAACAAAAGATTGTCAAACAGATTATATAGAACTTAAATCTCCACAGGTAATTTTTCGTCCATTAAATTTTGAAAACTTTTAATATACATATCTAATTACATACGTAGACAAATATTTTTGGCTTGAATTTTAAATAAAAGTTCTATATCATAGAACAAAATAATTGTTAATTCATAATTAACATTTATTAGTATAGTTATAATTTTTTGTAAAAGTTATCTTGGAGTTAAATCCTGTTTTATTAACAAAAATGTTGAATAGATGCCAAATATAAATTAACAAAAAAAAATAATAATTGTAATAATTATTTTATTCATTGGCTAATATACTGTATTTAGTATACATTATAGACTTGATGGTCTAAGTTTTTATAAAAAGAAGTTATGCTCACTTAGAAAATATTAACATTCTCAATTGTCCCACATTAATATATTGTATATACACTATATTGTATTGCAATTAACTGAAAATTTCGTTTATTTTCTTAGTCATCACCTAACACTATGAAACTATGTCATGAAGATCATGAAATTGATATTGTTCATCGATTTTATTCCGATATCACTTTGAGTTTTAGTACAGATGGATTAAAAACATCTAGTGGATTTATACTTGAATATATAAAAACATGTAAGTATTATTATTTTTTTTTAACTAGTATCTTGATTTTATTTTTGGGATTAATTTGTAAAATTGGTATTTAAAAATTAAGTTTTAACCAAATTCAATAAGTATTAAATCAAAACATAAGAAAATTAAAGTCTTTAATATATATAATTTTTAAAATTATAAGAAATGTATTAAATTTTTAAGCTTAGTCTAAAATGTGCCAAAACTTAAGTCATGTCATTTTTGGAATAATAGGTAGGGTCCTATATTTTTTAGAGGGATGGTATAGCTGGATTAATAACGGAAAAGTACTTAACATAACCTATCTCGGGTTTTAGTTAAAGTCACTACAGTGATTCCATTTATTAAACAATAATTCAGATTGGTAATTTGAGTGCTATTTCTTTCTCTAGTGACGTGCTAATCATCCGTACTGGATAGTTAAGAAACCTCATTAGAAGAGACTACTATAATTCTTAATAGTTAAAATATCCATCTGATTAGAATTATATATGGTGACATGTTTAAAGCTCAAGTGCTACAGAAAAAGTAAAAAATAGCACTTACAATAACTTTAATGATAGTAAAACTTAAGATATATTAAATAATATTTTTTTTAAATTACTAATAATGGCCAATAACTTTTGAAATTATTAAACAAACATAGAACGGGAAATAATGCAAGACATTGTATTTTCACATCAAAAACTATAGAAATTCAGAAACAAAAATATTGAGAAACTGTAAAAATGCAAAAATATATAGAGAAGTCATAGAAGTGCAAAATTATTGAGAAGTCCTAGAAATGCAAATATTTTAAGGAATCATAGAAATATAAATATATATATAGAAATATAAAAGTATTAAAAAGCCATAGAAACGAAAAAGTATTGAAAAGCCATAGGAAATGCAAAGATTTTAAGAAGCCATGGAAACAATAATTTTAAGAAGTCATAGAATTGTACAAAATTATCGTAAAATAATTAATATTTTAATAAACATAAAAATGAACAGATCAGGAATAAGTAGTAATCAGGGATTCAGAACGGAGCAAATTTTGTTCCGAAACGGAACTTTTTCTAACAAAAATTCCAGCCGTTTGCTCCAGAACGGATACTAATAAAATTCTTTCCTGAACGAAACTATTAATGAAATACGCTCTGGCTATTTGCTCTGTAACGGAACACTAGCTAAAAATTCTTCACGAAAATGCTTTTGAACGTTACCATTTAGTTTCACCCCACTGATATCTATTAACCATCTTCTTCTTCTTCCTCGCCTTAATCCCAACTACTTGGGGTCGGCCATGATATATATTAACCATATTTAAAATATTATTATTATATTTTTACATATTAATCTACTAAATAATTTTAATCTTTATTTAGACGTGGGCCTCTTACAGATTCAGATCCTTGTACTAAAGTCTAACTAGGGAGCATTATATTTAGCCTATTCAAATATTTTAACGTATTATATTGGATATAATTAAGGAATTAGGAGTTGATGTTGCTTTTGTAATCATCCACCAATTTCTTAGAATTAAACAATATCTACAAATTTGCATCAAAGCTTTTCTTATGACAGTGATTAAAATCCCTGTCAGATATCATCAAAACTTGTTCCAAATTATCTCACGTATATCTATGCTATCATTTTTTATGCTATAGATATTTTTGTTTTGTATTTTGAACGATCAAGTAATTTCATATTCAAAAATATTGTAATTAAATTATAAAATATATATATTAAATAGCATAGTATTGTCATGTAAACTAATAAGTTTAACGTATTAATTATTTAGATTTATATATATATATATAAATATTTTTTTTTTTGATAAATATATTTATGGTATAATTATTAATATTTTGCGCAAAGCATTTTAGTAAGAGATTATATTGATTACATATTAAAAATAAAAGCTTTATACACAAAATATTATTATATTTATTAATATATTTTAATTTTTATACCCGAAACGTTTTTTTAGAATAAGCTCCTTTTTGGAGTAAATTGTTGGAATAATTTTTAGCATGGGTTTCATTTAGGACCAAATAGTCTGAACTATTCTTTAGGAAAAAATCCGTTGGATGGTTGGAACGGATTTTACTAATAGTTCCGTTCTGGAACAAATTTGGAATGGAACAAAATTTCACGTTCTGGAACAAAAATATTGTTCCGTTCCGAATTCCTGGTAGTAATGTATAATTTTAAAAATGACTTAATAAATCAAAAGTATTAATTAAGTCATTTTTCGTGTTATTAATATAATTTTATATATTGCATTAAAAAATATAAAAGATTTATAATAGAATTAATCATTTGTAAATAATATTATATAAATTTAAAAAATGATTGTAAGGTATCCTAATATTCATAAATTATTAAAAAAAAAAATTACAACAAAATGTTTAAAATATTAAAATGTATCTGTCAATTATATCTGTTTTATTCTTTATATTTTAACAAATTTTACAATTAATTAGAAATTTTATGTTTGTTGAAGTTTGCCAACCAACTTTTAATGAAACTCAAGGCCGCATAGTTATTGAAAATAATATTGCATCACCAAGCTTGGATACCTGTACATTTGTAATAGATGTTGGCCAAAAAAATTTAACAATTTCCCTATACTTTGCTAGTCTTTTATTAGATAAAACTAAAAACGAATTTCTTAAGGTAATATATCAAATCTAAATAGAAATAATAATCTATTTTTTTATTGTTTATATCCAAACCCGGATTAAGACGTTGAAAGTTTCAAAATCAACATTTAAACGAGGAACCTTTATTTTAATTATAATAATTAATGTAATAGTGTAGCAAAAAGTTCATAGCCTAATTATTAAGCTACATGTTTTTTGCTATTTTAAACAAAAATATCTAAGCCTTAGAGGCCATTGGTATCAATGTCTTTTAATCCAGGCTTGTTAAAATTTATAAATAAAAAATATAGTTTTTAAAAATTTAAAATATAATGGGTTGGGTTGAATCAATATTAGATTTATGATGGTTCTTCAACAACATCACCATTACTGACTACACTTGTCGACGGATCACATTACTATTCTCCTAATCCAATTTTTTCTTCGAGTTCCATTGTAACAATGCAATTGAAATCACAAGCTTTATGGAGTTCTAATATAATGGATTTAACTTACACGTCAACTGATCAAGGTTTAAAAATATTTTTTTTATTAGAAATGATCTTACGTATTATAAACTTGATGTTTGGAAAATTAGGTAAAGGCTGCGGTGGGAGGTTATTTAATATAGAAGGAATAGTAACAAGCCCTTTATATCCAAAATTATACAAAAAAAATAGCAAATGTCGTTGGGATATTAGCGTTCCAACTCCAAACTCTATTTCAATTGAATTTAGAGGTAAGTTACTTAATATATTTTAAATTATAGATAGCAATTAATTATGTAAGATAAAAATCAAGGAACTCTATTAAACAAATTTTAGTTGAAATTAAACTCATGATGTAACTAAAATTATTTTTGTTAAAAATAATAATATTATATTGGCATTATCAAAAACCAACATAATTTCAAAATAATAATAAAAAAATTTATTAAACTGATTTAATTTTTTCAGTTTTTGATCTCGGGTCAAAATCTATGTGCGATACTAACTACTTAGAGTTATATAATGTTAACCCATCTACGGGTAAAGAGTCATTTGTGACAAAATACTGTGGAGGAGTAAGTTTAATAAGTTTTTGTGAAATCAAATAAAATTATATTTATAATATTCTTCTAAACAGGATACACCGGCATATCATATATCTGAATCAGGTGCAGTGTCAATTATATATGTTACAAGTGTTCATAATATGGGATCTGGTTGGTCATTACACTTTGATGTAAATTCAAATCAAAATATTTACATACGTCATAGACCTTCAATTATTTATTACAACCATTAATTAGAAATTAAAATCAGTTTTTAAGGATGCAATATAATGCTCATTTAAAACAAATAAATAAATACAAATAAAAAAAAAATTGTATTGCTCTATCACACTTAATTAGTAAAATTATGAAACATTTTTATTTTATAGCTACTCTCAATTTCATTAAGATATAAAGATGAAAATATAATTGTTTTTTTTATTGGCAATATTAAGATTATTTATCTCTATTAAAAATATATGAGAGTTAAATGTATTCTTAATAGGTAGCAATAAATAATTTAATTTCAATCTTTGTTACTTACAAGCTGTTTTAACAAAGAATTTTTTTATTGCTCGATAACTAAAATAAGTTTATTGTAAATTTTAGGACTAGAGTAACTTTGATAGTTGATATTTGATAGGCTTTCTTAAAAAACCAAATTAAAGTTAGCTACAAGTCAATTTTAAATTACTATACTAAACCAATTGTTTATAGTATTATCTTAGTTCACAGAAAATATATTTTTTAACACATTCTAAATTGAGCCTTTTAAAGTAATTTAAATTATAGAGCTATCATATTTAAAAATAAATCGGAGTTAATTTTATGAAAAGTAATAGACTTATACAAATGAATATTTAGAGAATTAGAACTCTTACTTAATGAAGTTATATTACCTAATAACACAACTTTTGAGTCATTAATACTCAGTTCGAATAGTTTTGTATATGTTTCCAAAACTGACGAAATGAAATTCCTTGCACGAGACTTTAAAATTAAATTTGACAAGTAAAAAAGAAACCTTTTTTCTTACAAAAAAATAATCCGAGCCCAACAAAATACTCATAATTTTAACAGTGCACCAGGAGCAATGTTTATTAACACTAGTTATGTTTGTTGTGCTGAGTATAACATTGAATTTCGTTACAATTCAATAAAAAAATATCTATTCTAATTCTAGATTTTCACACAATTATAATATAAAACTACCATTTACATGATTTTTTTTCTAAGTGTTTATATATTTAATGAATTATTTCGATACATTCCTCTAACGAATTGTTCCTGACCAAATTTCTGTGATTTTCTGTAGTTCCTAGAAGATAGCAGTCTAAAACCATAACATCCGTACTCTTGGGAAGTAGTCTTATAAAATAAATTTAATTGTTGTTTTGAATTTTTTTGTGTTTGATTAGACACTAAAATAATTAATAATATTAAAATGTATTTATTGCTCCTAAGGCAACATTTAACTTTATAAGACAACTTAGTTGATTCACTAAAAACTTACTTTGTTGAGAATTAGCTAACATAAGAAATTTAAAACACTTAAATTAAATTTTTATTTTAATGCCTATTAGATTTTTTGCCTTTTTAATGTAAAAGATACACAGCATGAAATTAAATAAAAATATTGATCAATCAAGTATACGTTACTTAGTAGTGTATTTCATAAAATGCTCGCTATGAGTTTCAGTTTAGAAACGTTTGCAATAAAAATTTCTTACGTAGATAGCTTACCAAAAATATAGTTAAGAAATATTTATAAAAATATTTTCACGAATAAAATTTAAAAACAGTTACGACTCAAATTCTGTGTCAATTTTTCGGATAGCAAAAATAAATTTAAAACTTTAATTTCTGTCTTATCAGATTGGCATTTTTAAAGTACAAAAAACAAATCTTGATTCGCAGTTAAAATAAAATTAATTATAAAATTGACTCATATTTTTTTTTGCGCATGACAGAAAACATCATATTTATACAAATTGCAATAATCCTCAAAACCCTATTTTTGTGTATTAATATAGGCTAATATTATATTAGTTCAGAATAAATAAGTTCTAACGCATTTCTTTGTAAATAACTTTTTTGATAGTTATTTAAAAAATTAATTACGAATCTTTAAGTCTTAAATGAAGTTTTTAAACTCATTATATTACTGAATAACTTAAATTAAAAATTAAAAGTTTCAAATAACTGTACAATAATTTTATTTTTTAAACAGTCAACTGAAAAATCATCAGTTTTTCGTTGGAATCATTTTATTCTCAGGTAAATAAAAACATATGTATACTTTTATCAAATTTGTACTATTACTTTTTAATCATTTAAATGATTATTGGCTACTTAGCGGAAAACCTACTTTAAGACTGTATTAAATTGAAACATATTTTTTCTATTACAAATAAAAACAAATCTTGTTTATTTGGATTTACATATTTTCACCTGTTGTTTACCTGCAATTGTCTAAAAAATATTTCCTCATATCGTTTATTCATGCATTATTATAATCATTATTTTTAATGATTTTATCTTTTGCACTTTTTTCACTACAAAATTTAGTTTATTTGATGTGCGAATTAGTTGTGGCCAGGAATAGATTTAAATTTATCACCAAGTTTTATGGTTTTACAATTCTAAGCTATGCGCTTAAGCTCTATAGGATAATAATTGAATAAAACATCAAAATGTTTGTTTCTCTAATAAAAAGTGAAATAAAGTAATGATCGAAAGTTTTAACTATCATATATTTCTTTAATGATCACTTACAAATTGAGCATACTTGAGACCATTGTATAAATAAAGGAATATTTAATGATCAAAATACTAAAATCTATATTTTAATATACATACATTTAAATTTGATTTTATTTGAAAAAATTGTATGTCTATTTAAAAGTTAAATTAAATATAAATACTAGCTCCATGAATGTTCAATTTAAACTATATTATCACGCTTTAGAATTTAAACTTAGATAATTATAAATGTTGTTATTTATTGAATATTTTATCGGTATTTTTAAATTGTACAAATGTAAAATTCATAAAATTAGTACAAATAACATTTTTTAATAATATTAATAAATGCACGTGTTAAATGATCTAAGTCATGTATATTTTCTTTTAATGAAAATTTATAAAAATACTTTTTAATACAGTATTTAAAAAAATATATACTATGGCGTTAAAAAATATATAAGTTTAGTATATAATTTAGGAAACAATTTTAAAATAAAAAGTATTATAAACAACTTAATAATTCTATGATACATTCAAAAAGTATAGAATACTAAAATTCAGTACAATTAATCAAAATTATTTATACTAAATTATGAAATATATAAATACCATAATGTTATAAAAAACATATATAGTAAATTATTAAATTTGTATATGAACGATTTTCATATTCAAATATTTGTTATTTCAAATAGATACTTGCTAAATTAAACTTTAGAATTATCACTATTATTTTAGAATTATGTAATTTAGTTTGTTTGACTGTTCTAATTTTATTTAAATATATTTTATCATGGTAACATTGGTGTTTATTATTGGTAATACTATTCCAGTCTTTTCTTTTACAATTTGGTAACTATCATGACCTGATTATAAACACGATAACACAAAATATAAACAGTATAATTTTTACTAACAAAAAGTCATAATCATGTTACTAATTTATTAGAAAATATTTAAAAGACTTCTTTTCGGAAACCAAATCCGAATTGATCACATTTTACTCTTAATAGTCTACCCAATTGAGGCGGACCACAATAAAACACTGTGATCTTTCCTTTTTTCTGATCCAATAGTTGTTTAAAAACTTTGTCCCAATTTGGTCGTCCTGCATTTGTCCGAGTCTTTAAACCAGTGATTAAATCTCGTTTTTCCTTTAATATTAAAATTAATATATGGAAATTACTGTATATCATTAAGTGTAAGTACTTACCTTTTCGTGTAACAAATCTAATGCCAATTGCAATCCTACAGCTTTCATGTCAGTTTTTTGTAATGCTGAAGTTATATACATATGCATCTCTAAAAATCTTTCCATAGCACCACCAAGCTCGGCTTGTTCTATTTCTAGCTGCGAAAGTAAGTTCACGAACCATTCGAAGGATCTTTGATCGCGATTAATCCAAAAGAAATCCACCTATTTTTTTTTTTTTTTATTAATATTATCTGTTTACATTGAATAATTATTTCCCTCACTTTTCTGAGATGCATCACAGTAGGTGGTATTTCACTAGCCCAAGTATATTTACACTTAGGACACGTATGTCGCGCCTTCCAGTATCTATGCATGATCGATTGTAAAATCGATGCAAATGGTGTGACGCCTATGCCCGTAGCTATCATCACTGCGTGTTGAGCTCTGAATAAATGACTGGATGGCGCACCGTACGGACCGACTAAATAAATCTTCAAAAAATATAATGGAATTCATTAGTTGAATAAAAATAAAAAAGGGCACAAAGATCAAACGTCTCACTTCTAATGGTTTGCCAACGGGATAATTTATTTGTGATCTGCTGCTGTCGTCTTTATCCGACCTTTCGTTTGATTTACTTTCATTGGTCACGAATTCCATACTGCCAATATTTGACGACTGAAACGATTATGAGCAGCTATTGAGAATATTTAATTAGACACAATAACAAATTACTTACATTTTCAATAGTAATACTGTACGATGAGACTTTAGTCTCGCAGTTCTCTAAACTGGGCGTTTTAAAAGCTATTATTGTAGGTTTATGTCTCATGTATCTAAAACTTTGAGCTAACGACTTATTTTGAGGACTCAAGTAGGCAATACCCAAAGATTGCAATCTAGCTCTTTTCATTTGACATTCATCAAAACTTTTTTCTGATTCTGAGCGCATATAAGTACGCAAACTACATATGTTATAGTATTAATATATTGTATATTATGAACCAGAATGTGTAATTATGTCAGTTAAAAATATTATAATTTATGATATCTTTAATCAACATTTTGATACATACGCTAGTAGCCGTTCTCTCTTCTTAATTCGATTATCTATATCGGGCATGGACAATGATTTTGACAAAGGGGCTTTATTAATTAATACCAATTTATGAAGATTAGCATTTTGCGTCTTCTTTACAGATTTTCTTGAATCTATAAATTATTAATATAACTTATATTTTAACGAACCAACATTTTCAATTTTATAAAAAACTATTTTCACCCGTTTTAGAGTAAACGGTAATTGAAGCGTTGGCATAGGAAAGGTACAAAGTCCAAAAAAATGTTCGTTTATTAATGGAAAACTTAATAAATACAAATCTTAATATCCTGATAAATAATAAAAATAAATTCTATACAGGAATAACACAGAAAACAAAAAGGTGCTTGTCATAGGTTTTCGCGTTTAGACATAAGTTATTTCCTTCTAATGAAAAGTTTAATTTTTTTGAACATAGTACCTTTTTGAAATTATCGCCAAAATTGTTTAATTTAATTTCTTTTCATAATAACAAACTTTAAAAATGAGCCTTAAAAAGTTACTTGCCAACTTTAGTTATTGTCGTGGGTGTAGTTTCAGAATCTGATCCTCTTATTTGAAAATCTTCTGGTAAACTACTAAAACTTTGATTAGTGTAACTGAAATCCCCTCCTCTTTTAAATTTTCCTTTTACCGGCTCTTCTATATTTCTCCCGGAAAATGTTCTTTGCAATGTACTAAAATATTACAAATTAAAGTATAATATACAAAGGATAAAAGAAGAAGATTTTTCTACAATTACGTTTGTAATTTTTTTATTTTAGACTGTTCTACAGATCCGATAGACGATGAGTTATCGTTATCCGACTCGGGTTCATTCATTAAATGCAATTTTTGTTGTTCTTCCTCAAAGTATGAATACAGTCTATTTGTCCATTCTCCTACTCCTCTAATGTGGAGCCACATATAGTCTAAAAAAATTGTTTGTTAATTTATTATCAAACTGGAAAAGTAAATTTTCCATTATTTACCCTCTTGTTCTGGAGCACTACTGATCGTAAATGGATGCCATTCATATTTAGCTATAACTGGTATATTGACAAAAACGTAATCACCCGGGTGAAAATCAAAATGCGGTGGCCTTTTAATTACCAAATGTGTGACCTTTGATGGTAATAGCAATCCAGAACTTATATATGTTTTCCCGTGTTCAGAGCGCATTAAAGAAAAACGATAAAAACGCTCACAGAGATATATAAATCCAGGAATAATAAACCACTTCCAAAAGTTTGGACAGTGAATTATCAATAGTAAGAAAAAAGGTACGTATAAAAGATGTGTCCAATAAAATACCTAAAATATTAATAAGTTTAGAAATTAAAAAAAAAAAAAAAAGTTCTGACTAACTTCGAATGAACCTCCCCTACGCACAAACGGTTGTGAGCAAATAAACATGACGAATAATATTATAATAAGTAGCACACCAGTGGGGTTGGCATATCCATCAATAAGACCGAACATTTCAGGATCGGTTGTAAACAGCCATTCCGAAACAGTAAACCCTTCGTAATTCAAATTAGAGTCGTATATAATAACAGTACCTATCAAAATAAATAGTAATATAATAAATTCAAATAGTATTTTACAGTATATTTCTTACTAAAATTAATGAGATGCATTAGCGTATGAAGTAAACTATAACCAAATATGAAAAATCCTGTGATTTTGTGTAAATATATATGTTGATCTAGAGGCAAAAAAGAAGACAAACCACGAGTCCTTAAAAATGTTATGCTATGTCTTAACATTAGCACGAGAACAAAAGTACAATTGAAATTTAAACACTGACCTAAAAGTATATACTCATTAAATCATATTTTTTTTTAAATTTTCACTTTTTATAAATATATTTTATTAATTTTATAATTAATCTTACCACATGCTCTAGCTAATATTGTGTATATATTAGCGTTTCTGTACTGATAAATTCTGGATCCAAATAAAATTATATTTATTAGTATATATACATTTAAAAATATCAAATAAACGTAGTTATTTCGCATGTAAGGCAATGAGAGCTGATATGGCCTTAATGCAGTTAATTTTCCCATAACAGAAGCTGGTTGCTGTTTAGGTTTTGGTGGGACCAACCAACGATCAATGCTAAAATAAAGACAACAGAAATAATAAAATTAATTTAAAGTTTAGATTATTATGGTTATTTATTCTCTTTGCTTACCTAATTGATAGGTTTTCCAAAAGTCCATTATGTTTTTGTAATTGATTCTTTAGAGCTTCATAAGTAATAGCACCACGTGATTCGCTGTCTGCATCTTCAAATAATGCCATCGTTAAGTCTTCTACCTGATCTTCAGAAAAACGCATACCATTTTCTTCCATACAAGCACGCATAACATGTTGAAGTTCACGATGCTGTATAAGACCATCGCCTTAAAATTTTTCCATATTTATTTATAAAAAATAGAGTAGTTGTATATCATAGTTTAAACAAACAATAAATTATTGTATATTGGAGAAAAATAGATATTATTAATGATGGAATACATTAAGGACAACATTATTCAGAATAGAATTTTTTTTACCATCCAAGTCATAAACTTTAAATAGAAATCGAATTTTATCATCTGGTGATTGACCTGCAAACTGGTGCATAGCGTCGAGAAACTCATGCAATGATATTGTTCCAGAATTATCTTTGTCAAATATTTGAAATACACGTTCCGTAAAAAAAGGCTGTCGAAAAAATTTATATATAAAATAATAGATTAAAACATAAATATATAATTTTTGTCTTACATTTTTTGTAATCAAAATTTTATTAAAATCGTCCCGTTTTATTTCCATTTCATTGCCAACGGTTTGACGAAATAATTGTTCGAGCCACTTCAAGTTTTCGCTATCAAATCCCGATCTTACTCTAAGTAAAATTATATCATATAGTATTTTAATTAAATATGATTATTTTGTATAAGGATATAATTTGAAAATATTCTTGTGTTAAATTTAAGTAGAACTATACAATGGATTCGAGTACTTCGGTTACTTTGACATAAGCTAATAATATTTAAATGATACAAATAGTAATGATTAGTTAAAATTTATTTGAGTGTAAAATTATTCAAATTACTAGAATGTATTCAAATTTTATTTTGTAAATATTTTTTACAAATAAAAGTATTTAATGCAAAGACTAAAAATCAAAAAGTTTTAAGGTTATCTTGTAAAATCACAAAATATTGATATAAAACCTTCGGTGCTTAAACCGAAGTTAGTTTTTGATGAAAATATTACCTAGAAGAATACGTAATGGTAGATAATAATTCCATGATTTGTGTCGGTGTAATTATTCCGTCTGAATCTTTGTCAATAAGTCTGAATAACTTTTCAACAATCTATAAAAAATATAATTAAATTTACAATAAAAAGTTATTTGCATATGTAATGTTGTACATAATTTAAAACTAATTAAATCTTTGAAAATTTCAATACGCTCCCATTTGTATACTAAAAACTCACGAAAATTAGAGCCATGGTTTGAAAACGTTTTTTTCCAAAAATTACTTTTTATTCAATAAATCCAACATTTTGACTACCATAGGTTTTTTTTAATAACATAATGTCCAAGTAGCTTTGATACATGAGTGTAACAAAATCTCTAATTAAATAGCTTTTAATTAAATTATAGCTTCTGGAATGATATTTTCGATTTGTTTCGGAAAAAAACGAAAATATCGTTTCAAAACCCATAAATCAATGATTTTATTTTAATACTTTTTAAAAAATGTCTAATCTATAGTAACATCTAAACTTAGTATTCCACAATAATCAAAACTAATAGTTATATTGAGCAAAATATATATTCGTGAAAAAAACTTTTACAGTCTCTGATTAAAGTTAATCAATGCAAATAAATATTCATGAGGTACATAAAACAAAGTTCAAAATAATAACTTATAAGCCGAGAAAAACTTTTTGGAAATATATAATTAGTTAAAATAAAATATAAAGCTTTTTTTTTAATGAGCTTTTTTTGAACCTGTTTCAAAGAGTAATTTTATTTTTATTTGTATGTTTAGTTTTTTATAAATATCTGAGTATGTAATATTAAAAATATTATTATTTGCTGCTTAATGCATAAATTCATAACTAACATTAACTTAAAAAATACAAATATCTCACTATCTAAGAAAAATAACGTAGTTAAATAAATTATTGCCAAATATAGTTTAACAATCAAAGTTTGCCTGCTAAAATAACATCTATTGTGTTTAATTTGAATACCACTCCCTTCAGTATTATAAGATATGAATACAATTATGTTGGTAGGACATAAACAATTAATACAAATATTTTTTTCAATTGTTAAAATAAGAAAAAATACTGAAATTCTATATTTTTATTATACAAATATTTTGATAAAAATATAATTAATGTTTTTATTTCAAATAATCAAAACATGACAAATGACATGATTCATTCAGTGCTTAAGTTGAAATACAGTGTTCTAATAGTTTTAGGAATACCAGAGTTAAAATAATTATTTATTTATGTAAATTAAATTTTATAAGACACAAAAGTTGAAATATTAATAATATATGAAAAAATATTTATTTTTTTTATTGAAACATTTAAATATTTATTATTATGAATATTCTGTTTAATCTGGTAAGATTCTTTAATCATAAAATATACTCAATAATTAACATTAAATTAAAATAATTAAATTGGTCATACTGAAACTTTAGAAAGAATATATTGACGATTTATACGATGTGTTGTTTTTAACATTAACATTAATAATTTTAATCATTCAGTAGCACCTAATGAATATCCTATCAAATAAATATTGGCTTAGAGTCTTTGACTTTATACTATCCTGAGTTTTTACAATTGATTAAGTTTAATTTTCCCCCAATTCTTTTTTCTTTCGAGTCCTACTTTCTTATACCGAACTTAAGAACAGTAAGAGAAGGCAAAAATTAGCGAATTATGATTTTTTCAATAGTTATTTTTTAACTCTAAATAATTTACTATCATAAATATTAATTGCATAGTTTTGTTAATGATTTTTTAATTTTTATATTTTATTTGATATGTTAATTTTCTTTAATTATTAACTAAAAACTATTCTTGTATTTTTGTATTATATTAAATATAATACAAAATTTGTATTAAAGTTTATTCTAATATATTTTTGTTAGAAACTTTTAGAATTGTTAATGATTTTTTTTAATAATTGTATTTACAACGCAACATATTATTGTACTAGAGTCGTTAATTTAAATAAATGAATGAATTATCCTATATACTTATGTTCCTTTTAGAGTTTCAGTCTTTTATGAATTTAATTTTTGTAAAACTATATATACAAAGTGCCCCACCACGTTTTAACATATTTAATAACTTTTAATTCAGCAAATATTTTGAGTTATTATTTTTTTTATTTATTGTAGGTTAAATAAAATTTTTATATTTTGTCTTTAATAAAAAAAAAATTTAAATGTAGTTTTTTATTTTTTAATTTTTCAAAATATCCCATTTTTTAATTTTTTTTGTTACAAAAAATTTCGATGGGTCGATAACAACTTAATTGTAAGTATTTATTGAGTTATAATCATATTAATACATAGATTGAGTATGTAATTAGGGTGGAGTATGCATTATAAATTTACACCAGAACAAACTATACCCATGTATGTATATATTGTGTATGAAAAAAATTTAAATATCAGGTTTTACTTTTACTATGGTAAAAAAAATAGATCCGTGGATGTTAAAGTTAAGAATAACTCCAAATAATGAAAAACAATTTTTTTTTTAGATTGTTATCACTGTAATTATAAATAATTTATTATTAAAAACAAATGAATCAAAAATAATAGAGCTCAGCAAGAAACTTTTTAATATTTCAAACTCACTGGTGATATCAGATGATCGAACTATATCTATAATTAGTGATTTGTCGAGCATTATTTTTATGGGCTCACATATTACACCTATTATTTTTTTGACACCCTTAAATTGGTCTTATGTACCCAATGAATTATATCATCAATTGTATATGAAATGGTACACAGTTTATATGATTGACATCAATCAATTAACGAAAGCTGGTAGCAATTATGGTTATGATCCTTGTCAAAAACCTAAAAAAACTTTGGAAGTATCACCATTTTTTATGACGTTTTTCATTGACTCTCAAACTGCTGTGAATAAGATGATTGGTTTAAAGCATAGCTGGATTTGGAACTCTGATGCCATTTATATTATGGTAGTTAAAATCTTGGACAAATCAATAAGAAATTTAGTTAGTAGCATTTGGTCCAATGAATTTATTCATAAGTAAGTACTTTAATAAAGAAAATAATACATGTGTGTACTTATTTAGTAATATACATACCTAACCCAACCAAACTAAACCAACATGTAAGTATTTATTAACATACAATTTATTCTTGAATTTAAATTATTAGTTAATTGATTATAAATATTTATGACAAAATTAATAATTTCGTTAGATATTAACTCGTTTATGCGATTTTTGCACTTAGTGTAGTGATATTCATATTTTAGAAACAAGTAGACTAATATGGCGTAAATTCGTTATTTCAAAATAAATTTATTACAAAACTAGAATTTAATGTTATTTGATTAAAATTTAAGGGCAAAACAATTTAATAAATATCTACAAGTAAAAAGAAATTACTTATTTACTTACCAACCACCTTAAATAAATTACCATCTGATTTAAGCCACTCTACCAAAAATATAAATCACCAAAATTTATTTATTTTCTTGTAATGATATAATAAAGTATAACTTCATACTAAACATCCATATTTTATAGAATTATCATCATAACTCCATATTCAGTCAAGCTCTATGATCCGTTAGATGGAAATAAGTTTAAATATATATCTTTAAAGTCTCTGTATAAAGTGCCAAAGATATTTCGGCAACGAACTAGTAATCTTCAACAGAAGCCACTTCGCGTTTTGTTGAATATTAGACCGCCTACAGTAATTGCAATGGATGATGGTTCTTATGGTGGAATAGATGGTAAATTTGTGAACCTTTTAGCAGTTAAAATGAATGCATCTCTAATTTTATCAAGTGAAAAGCTCTTTGCTAAAATTGTTTATGGAAAATTAATTTTAAAAAATGGCAGTAATCACGGAACTTTAGCGTCAATAATAGATCGACGTACAGATCTCATAGGAAATGGTCATTTCCTAAAGGATTATGGGTGTCATGTTAGCGAACTAACTAGACACGTACGTATTATCAAAAAAACGAATTTAAATAAAACACCTGGTAATTTACTACCTACCTTTTTATACATTTTTTTTTCAGTTTTTTATGTATTTTATTACCTTAAATTGAGTTAAAGTTTTTCATTCAGCTTAAATTTTAGTTTCATTTTTAACAATTAATTTATGCAAGTATTTAGTTGATATTTAATATAAAATGTTTGTATTTGATGTATAATTAAACAGTGAAATAACGTATTCATTTTAGATTACAAGTGATGTGGTGTGTATGCTAGTACCAAAATCTGGAATTATTCCTCCAATGATTACTGTGTTAAGAAGCTTTCAAAATGAAGTATGGGTTATGCTATTTATAACTTATATAATAACATTTTTAATGTATTATGCGAAAGCTGCAATGGACATAGACCATTTTAAACTTTCTGGGTGTAGTTTAGGACTTGAAATTTATAAAATGTTTATTGGAGCACCTACAAACAGAAGGTTTGCTTGTTCAGGCCAGAAAATTCTAACATCATTTTGTTTATTATTTACACTTGTTGTATTAAACGCTTTTCAGGTATTTATGATGTTTTTAGATATTAATACTATTTAGTCTAGCTAACATCGTATTCACTAACTTATGTTAGTAAATAGTCTGACTTGTTTGATTTCCATCGATACAAAGTGAATTAATATAAAATATAATGTAGAATCAAAAACTAATTTTCAATTATAATTATTATAGGGATCATTAGTAACGTTTCTTAACACACCAATGCATTATCCAGACGTGAATACTTTTTCAGAACTTGAAAAGTCTGACTTACCAATACGCACGTTTAGTTTAAGTTTTAAAGAAATACTGAACAGTGATCCAAATTTACGAAACCTAGCTCCTAGAGTAAAAGAATGGAAGAGTAAATATGCTCTTAAAAATTCAGATGGTCATCATGTTGATTTTCAACGCATTAACTATCAACACGTAGGACATTTTAAAGATGTATTTTACGCTGGGAATAAAACTAAGCCTCGTTTTTTACATAAAATGAAGGAGTGTTTAATCTCATACTTCATTTCTTACATGATTCATAGGTAATTCAAATGATAATTATTACTTGTTCATGTTGTATTTACTTGATCTAAATATAATTAAATATTTATTAACGTAATATATTTAAAAATTAAAACTAAATGAAAAAAATCTACGTATAAATATTATTTTAATAATTATATAAAATATACCAAGTTCAAATATCGAACTTGTATAAAAAGGTTTTTGAGCCGATTTTAAGTATCGTAGATTTAAAAGAGCGTACTCGAATTTTTTTGGGTATATTATCGGAAAATTAGTAAACGACCCTTTTTTTGTCACATCATTCGATTGTATTGTCAAATATGTTTTAAAGGTTAATTAAAAAATGAACTTTATTAAAAATTTTTACATGAAACTCAACATGTTTTGTCATCCCTGGTCGATAATTCTTCATAATATATAAATGATTAATTCCCGCAAAGGGAAAAAACTAGATACGGTTTGAGTTTGGATTTGTATTTTATAGTTGAAAGTTATTATTTTGAGTTCAATAACAGTTTATATCTTAAACTTGTAATAATATATGATATAAATGAAAAGTTGTTAAAATTATTATAATTTTTTATTAAAATAAATAAACTCTTATAAATAATAAAATAGTAAATACTATTAGCAAATTAAATTTAACATATCACATATATTTTGAATTTAAAGTATATATAAATATAGCTTTATAATAATAATTTTCTAGGCATTCTCCATACAAAAAAAGAATCGACACCATAATATCATGGGTAGATCAAGCTGGTTTAGTAGTTAAATGGAATGATGAAGTTACTAAATATATATTTGACGAATATCGACCAACCATATTGAATGATAATGAAAAATCTAAAGTATTTGATATCAAAGATGTAGAAGTAGCTTTTACAGTTTTATGGGTCGGATTACTGTTCAGTAGTCTTGTGTTTATCATTGAAATTTTCTTGCACAAAATTTCTAAAAAAAAATCACCACCGTCTTTTATTTTCATACTTTAAACTAGGTATAAGAATAAATTGTATAACGACCGATAATTCAGTTTGATTTTTAATAGAAAATACTTTAACTTTTAAAAACCAATTTAATATATCAATGATTTATAACATGTTATGTGCTGTAATACAACGAAAATTCACATTATAAACAAGGACTTATTTTATGATATAAATTCAATAGATTTCAGTGACTTTTCTATACACAATTAGTCATAATAGTACAAAAAGTTTTTTAATACATTTATCATGAGCAAAATCATTATTGAGTGAAATATATGGCCCGAAGCTCATGTGGATAATAGTTTTGTAAGAACTGAAGTGTTTAATTTGTATTGACGTATGCAAACAACTAAGAATAATTACTTTCGTGGTTTTAAATTATGAAATACGTTTTGCATTACACTGTTAAAATATTAGGGTCCATGTATCATTATGCAATATTAACTATTATTTAGCATTCATGGAAATCGCTTGATCTAAAACCCTTCAGGATATTTAACATATTATTAACAGATAGACGCTAAATGACCTACAGTATTGTCATTATCTTGTACCTTGTACTCTAGCAAATTGCATAAAGTTATGAGTTATTTACAACTTTCGCAAAATTTGGTTTTAATTTAAATGTATTTAAAAAAAATTCTTGTTATATTTAGAAATGAAAATGTAATTTTTGTGTGAAAACTCTTTAAATATTTTCATAGCTTATAAAAAAATTAATCAATATAGTTAATTGAGTTTGAAGTTATATTGTTGAAATAGCTGATAAGTATCAATTTCATAAGGTAACAGCTATTAGATATGGACGTTAGTGAAAAAGGCCATTTTGTAAAACTATAATGGTATTCACAGTTTTGTAGCTCTATTGACACTGAAGCTTATTAAAGAACGAAAACATTTTTTAAGTCTAAAACTTATATTACAGTTGAACCAACGCCACAGAAAATGTTTGAAAAATTTATTAGTTGAAATCACAAACATTGTTTTGATTTTAATGTGATAGACCATTTATAAAGAGCAGAGACTATCGTGTTCAATTTATTTACAGTGAATATATTAGGTATCACTTTCAGATTTCTTATGATGCTGCGGGCAATTGTTAGACAAATTTATTACATTTCCATTTTGACTATAATTAAATCTGTTGTTAAATTCCTACAATAGTAAATAATGTATTTGAGTAATTCAATTTGGTTTGAGGGTTTCATTTATTTTCATTTGATCCACGTTTACAAGCGGTTCGCACACCGTTCAGGAGATAATAAATAATCGAACTAGTCGGATTGTCACGCCGCTTACACATACATATTTTATATTTGTATAATAAAATGAAATAAATAGAAATACCGAGATACGGTACTTACGTCTTTATCTTTAGCCAGAGATCGTCGTAATAAATTCTGCGCCAGAGTGCGAGCACGCGACGCAGCTGTTTTTCAAAAGATCACTCGCGCACTGAGATGATAAAAAATAATAATTATATAGTATGACTGTCCACACACGAAGACCGTGCCTTATCTACCGGTTACAGAACAATGCACGAGTTGCAAACTTAGATTCTGCTACGCCCAAAGCAAGTTTTAAGTGTTTTAAAGATACTTTAACGATATTAACGTACCATTTCAGAAGTGAAAAAGGTAAGTGCAAACTATGTCTGTTTATCTATTTTTATCGCGGGAGACATTAGTTCAATTTGATTGAATATCAAACTTTTTACAATAATACTCAAAAATATTGTAGCCTTCATTCTTCATTTGACTATAAATTGATCAGGTATAATCATTTTCTTTTAATCTTTACAATTGTACAATGATAGCAATTTGTCTTTTTTTATCATACTTTTTGTTTGTTAATTGATTTAATTATACTATATTTTACAAAAGTAATCACGGGTTAGTCTTATTGAATTATGCTAGTAGAATTTAACATTTATTCAACTTTTTTGTTTTTGCATAATATTTTTAAGACAAAAAACTAAACAATAATTTTATTATTTTTTTAAATAAGTCAATAAAAAACGAATTATCTAATTTAATATTATAACTTTGAATTATGTATTTAGTAATATAATAGTAGTACTTACACCTTTTGCTTGAAAAATTTGATTAAATTTTGATAGATTTATTGCTTGATCTCCACAAAGAACATAAGCTACACTTTCTAACTGTTCTGCTAAATCCCCTTGTTTTTCTTCCCTGCTAACAATACACATATTTATTTACTTTTTGAAAATACTTAAATTACTTACTAGCTTTAATACTTAAACTTTAACTTCAATGACTTTTATGTTTAAATTTAAAATCGAAATATAATAATGTGTTAGTTTTTTTATTTGCAAGGTACAAGACCCTAAGAATATTTCAAATAATAACAAAACAACAATAATAACACAATTATATATTGTAAAATTCTATGGCCTATAAGCAAAGATTATTTATCTTACAATTATATATCACTTTTTGAAAAATAACAACAGAATTTATCTAAAATAATTGATTAATGGGTCTTTTATTTTTGTTAACGAATATTTTAATATAAGAAATTTATTAGTGAATCATTGAAAAAATTCAATTTTTATAAATATATTATATATATATACCCTTTTACCTGAGTACCACAAAATCATTGGCAGTAATTTGACAATTACACATAAAAAGTAAATAATAAATATTTTTTTGGAAAAAACTTGATTTATACAAATACAAATTAGTACTAAAATATAATATTGTTAGAAATAATACTGTGTTACTATTTTTTGAGCTAACAGTTCACGAGAATACACAATTTTGATATAAGTAATGTAATACAAGTAAAATTAAATTATTAAAAAAATGTTTGCTCGTTTCATATTTTTTAAACTTAATACAAGTTATTATAATAAACTAAAAGAAGTAGATTATGATAAAATGAATATTTTATTGATGAATTTTTAGAAAAAAATAATAGGATTTCAAATTCTCTTGACTTATTTTTGATGGTATTATAATTATTGGTATTGGTTAAAAAAATTAAATAATTATCATAATGATTATGACTATCTACAAAAACACTGCCACTAGAAAATTAATTTCGACATTTAATAAACATCCATGTATATTATAAATTAACACATGTCTCAATCACATAACATCCTATATTTTTTTATTGACTGATAACTATAGTAATTAAATGATAAAGTTAATAGTATACTTTACTCAAAAAGTAATTATTATTATGATATGATAATTCAGTAGTGGCCGAATTAAAAATACGTAAACAACAGCTTCATGGTGGAGAATGATAGAATAGCCTTAGGAATTTTTGATTAGCTATACTTAAATATTTGGGTTATTTTTTAAGATGTCGAACTAGTTTATTGAGTAATTTCTCAAAACTGTTTTGTCTAGTCAAATGTTTATATGCATGTCCACTGTTAATATCATTACTCAATAAGGAGCGCCGACAAAACCACCGTAAATTGCCACATACGTATGGAAGTTTTATAGTACCTTAGATTGGATACTGGATTTCCGACTGAACTAGATAGATAGTGGGTAGAAAAAAACCTCGGACAATTTTTCTTCTTAATTCAGAAACAAAAGAAACCTGTTTTACTATATGTACAGTGCTAGGTGTCATATTATTGTCGCTTGTAAGTTAAAAATACGTGATCAACAATCAATACAAGGTATCTTATTAACTCGAAAACATAAAGTGTAAATTTCCAGTTTAAAAGACTTAGAGTAAATGACTATCATATTTCTTTCGTGACATTTAGCCTTATAAAAAGATTAAAAAAGAATGTCATATATCGTTCAATTAAATTAATCCATTCTATTTAGCTATATGCTCACCAAACTTCAGTGAAAATTTGCATTGCCACATATTATAATTAAATTAATAAAGCGTGGAAGATTAAATTAATCGAATGAAAAACAAATTAACTAAAAGTGAATTATTTATAACAGTCATAAATATTTTAGAAAATCGCTAATCTTAACTTTTTACAAAAAATCATTAGCATCAGTGTATATGTGTAACTTATAAAACACATACTTAATAATGTAATTGTATATCGAGGAAATTGTACCAAAATAGTTAAAATTAAGTAAATACCTTAATCATAATGAATTTTTGTTTAAAAATGTGTACCTAATCTAAATGAATTTTTGATTTTCAATTTTCATTAATTATAATTGAAGAATTTAAGTTGTTAAATTTATTTTATTAAATTTATGCTTCACATTAAAATTTTTGAAATTTTTTTATGACTCAAGTTTGGCTAGTAATTTTTTCAATTATTTCTCTGAAAAATATTTAAAATTGTAATGAAGAAAATAATTTTCAACATCATTACCCCGTCTAATTTCTTTCACTAGACATGTCGTCCAGAAGCTTTTTGTCGGCGAGTTTAGCTATACACAACATTGTGACAATTTCTGCATAGTGATCAATAATAACCGACAACCGGTTCAAGCCACGTCACCAGTCTCATTTAAAACAATCGTGATAACAACTAATTAGAATGAATAATAATTATAAGTGAAATATATAGTTATTTAAGATTGGAGCCCTGATGCGATGCTTTGTCAGATAATTTCTATTAACATTTACAAAAGGGTTGATAACGAGTATTATTATTCTATAAATTAATAAAATTACTGTAATTACTATTATACATGGTTGGTATACAAAAGTACTTTTAATTTATATAATTTCAAATATCAAATGAGCAAATTATTAATAGTGTTATTTTGCTCTTATCTACAAATACCCACATTATTGATCATTAACTTATGTTATACACATAAAATCGTCTGCAAACTCATACATCATAAGAAAATATTGCATTTATACGTTCCACGCATTAAATGTCCGATGAAGAATTTGTTCACCGTGTGATTATCAGGACATCCGATCTAGAAAACATCTTGTGCACATACATGATAAATGCCGTGAGAACACAGCACAGTAGTCGCGGCAATGAAGTCAAAGTAGTCTGTAGGTATGATTAGTTGTAAACCATGTTAACAGTGATACACCAGTACTAGTGAAAAAAAAATATAAAAATGTTCTATTGTTCAAGTCCTGTTTTAAAATTGTTATACAGTAGAACTCCAATTATCCGAATTAATGGGGACCGGGACCCATTCACTGACTAATCAAAATAAACAATGACAGGTGACTGCAATGCGCCGGAACTGGAGTGGGAACTCTTACCACGTGTTGTGCCTACACTGACGCCGCGGACTTTGGACAAATTTTTTTCTGATTTTTTCTGAAAGTGATTCGGATAATCGGCGATTCGGATGATCGGAGTTCGGATAATTGGAGTTCTACTGTATACCAATTGACTTTAAAATTATATTCATAGCAATTCTTAACGAAAGTAAATGTACGCATATGATTTATTAAATTTGATAATTAAAAGATAAAACAACAAGTAACAGACAAAATATTGAAATAATTTACGCCTTTTATAGTTTTTTTTTTTTTTACCATTGGATGAATAACAATATATAAGCTGCTAGTAGTTTTTAAAATTAAGTAACTTCAAGGAAAGTAAGCGATTCTACACCTTGATGTGTTTGTATAACAAAAACGTTAGCACTCAAACATATTGAAAAATGTTTTTTTCTTAATAAGATCATAAAAGTATTAAGATTTATTGAAATAAAATATTATTTATTAAATTTTCCAAGCGATGACTAATTGGATAATCGCATTTTGTAAAAATAAAATAAATATTCAAGAGAAAGTTTATAATAATTTGACTTGCACATCATACCATGGTCTACTTAATTGGATAGATTTTTTTTATTACATTAAAAGTAATATTTTTTTTGTCCGTCAATATCGATTAATTATCACTGCAATAAGGTTAGCTCATGTAAATGCGATTCCGTGCATAAGGTTCATTTGCTTGAAAGGAAACTGGCATCAGACTTAAGAAATAATATATGAGCGGCTTTATTCACCAAGAAAAAAATAAAATAATAAATAAAGCGCCAAGAGAGACAAACACGACTATTGGACTCCGTTAACTCCAGTTAGATACATCTGTTTTAATTAACCGAAGATACAGCACAATAATTGCAAATTCAACTGCAGTATAAATGACATGCACTCCTAATTACTTTAATTGGATTTAGAATAAACATTTCATGCTGCGAATAGACGGCTAACTATTTACGTGACTGAGTAATAGCGTCTTCTGTTTCAATGAATAACTCGTCAACTATATATAACTTAATAAAATCCGTTTAACTATAAAAATAACTTAAATGTTTAGTTGGTGTTGTAAAATTTTTATTTGTACCTATTAAAATTCTTGTTTGACAAGTCCATTGTTCAGTAAAACAATTTCAACTAAATTAAATCTATATATTTTTTAAATATATCATACTACAAAGATAAATTAGGCAGCTAAATATTACATAAAAATAAATTTATAACGTGCGCTAAAACAGTTTTTGATATGTCTGAAATTCCATTGCATTAAAATCGCTTCAATTAATATTTGTATAAATAAATATTAAATATTGAAAATAAAAATTGTTATATTCTTTTCAACTTAATAATTACTAAATTATAACAATAAACTCACATTAATCTTTCTTTTAACGACTGAATCCATTTCTCTTGTTGTAGTACTTTTTCGTCGTCTTCGTCGAATAAATGGAATAGTATGGACAAAACTTCCTGTAATAAAATAATCGATAAATTTAACTTAAAATTATTTTATTTAAAACAAAATACTTAATGGTCATGTAATGTTCATAAACATACAACATAAAACATAATGCTTTTTTTTTTTTTTAATAGCGCTTTTTGCAGCAACCAAATTGTTTCTTAAAACAACTCTTTAAATGGTATAAAAGTAAATTATAATACTTTAAAAACATACAGAAGCTTTAAAATCAATTATATATTTAAATCATGCATTGCTACATCTTTATGAAGGTATTCATCAGTCTTGAGTTGGTAACCAAACAAATGGTAAAAGTAATTGAATTCTTTGAGACGGTTGATTAATGGACTAACTTGGTAAAAACTAATAAGTAGCTTACTTACATCTGGTGCACGATCATGATATTTTATCTTTCTTGCGGTAGCATAAGTATAACAGTCTGTTCACATTGTTTGAAAATTTGATTCTTTAGTATAAAAATTTTTTTTTTTTGAAAAGTTTTTACAAAAAGGTTTAATAGATAAAGTATAAACACTTATATTTAATAAGCTAATCTAATAAATCTAATAGCCAGTTTAAAAGAAAACTTTCTGATATTTTATAAATTAATGATCAGCTTAAAAGTATCCAATGTAATAAATATTAAATATATGGTCTTCTTTGTATTAACTATTGGACGACTAACTTATATTCGTAAGAAACTAAAATAAAATGCCATCTTTATCTTATAAAATATAACCTATTCATTTTAGGTACACTAAATAATAGTTTAATAGTTTATATTTTTTAGTTGGTTGGTGGCCGCAGTACATTGCTCTATGATTTGACCGCAACTCATTTATAATTATTATATTATAGGTCTGTCGTCTATAATTTTCATTTTTTCAGACTACAAGCCAGTTAACAGACAATTTAATTCAATAATGAGATCATAATAAAATGTAGCAGATGCACACTTTCACAACACCAATTATAATATTGAATAGTGTGATAGCGAAGATAAAAAATAATAATATACATATAGTAACGAGTTTTACCGTCAAATATTATTAAAATTCGTTCTATTTTTGTAGTAAAAATAAACATAAATATTAAACCACATCTTTAATATTACGTATTTTTTCGTTGGTATACTATAACTTTACGGTAATGTAATGAGTTTTCTTGGAATGAAATGTTGGGTACAAATATATTAAAATGAATAAGTTAATATAAATTGTTTAGTTTCCAAGATTGATAAATCATAAAAAAAAAAATGATTGGGGTGATTAATCAAGCTGAGTAGTGTAATGTGTATTATTTATTAATAATTTATAATAAAGCAACTAACTTTACTACATAAAATTTATAATAACCTGAACAGGCGTATCGTTATTAAATACATGATAGTTCTTCGTAAATTTATGAAGAAATTTTTAAACGGTTATAAATTGTAATAATATTTTTGATATCATGCCAAATACCTGTATCATTTCTTGAGGTATAACTATTTCGCACCTATAATATGTTTACGACTTAACGTGAAAAACTAATAAAAATGTATCGATTACACATACCTCTATGTATCTTTTACGTACAAATTACCTTGTAAATATAAATCACGGCTCAGTTGTATTTTAAGTTTTAATACAAGTAAAATGAAAAAGTATACTAATGACACCATCAGAATTGTAGGTTTAATCTTTTATGGGTTGAACATTTTATGAGACAAAATGTAATTTACAAAAACGTAGCATATCAGATACACGTTGTACTTCGTGCGGTTCAAAATTTTTTAAGTAATGCCGATGTGATAAAGCCTTAAGCTACAATAATAATGATACTGCGATGGTAATGAAGTTAAACACGATAGCACGACAACAGAAGCACCAAGCTAGCAAAATGAACCTGGCGGTGAAATTCATTATAGGATTTACATTATAATAACTATGAGATAGATGCGATTGCCTTTTAAAGTGTATGCTTCAATAATTATTGGACATTACATATTCCAATCAAACAACCGACCTGACTATCAAATTTATGTTAGTGCTTTCTATAAATTATAGCACCATAGAAAACTACCAGTATGTATTACTATTATGAGATCAGCTTAAATCGTTAGGAATTGCATATAGCAACTAGAGTGGTTTTCTTTGTAATTTTCTTCACTAAACCATATTTATCACAAAGAAAGATCGATTTAAGCGTTCTCGCATCTTTAAATATATCTGCTTACGTGCTTGTAACATAGATATAAATTGATCTATTTAAAAAATATAAGAAACAATATTTTTTTCTTAGAAAAATTGTAAATTATTGTACACAAGTAAAGTTTGTTTATAATATTTATTAAAAAATAGGTAAACATTCTGTTATTTTATTGATCTTTTTGAACTAAAGTCTCTGTGACACAAGGTAATGGTTACTGTTCCTAAGATGTAATGAGTTTTAGTGCAGATTAATTTTCATAATGCACTTTTATTTTCAAATAATATACCATCATATTGAATTATGAGGCAAATCGATTTAAAAAATACAATATTTTACAATGAAATTGATCTACTTTAAAAATCTATGATAAAATGAAAGTGACTGAATAAATTGAATACATTTTTAAAACACCCTATTATTATGAGTATATAGTGAAAACTATTAATAATCTAATAATTTTAAACCTAAATTACACTGCATTAGGTGCTTATAGATTGTATGTTATATAATAATAAATAATTAGTCATAAAGAATTGCACAACTAATTTTGTGCGAAATATTAAATCTGCATCAATCTCAAAAATGCTTACTCTATATTAGTTCTGTAAAGAATATTGCATTAAATTTATACATGACTTATTTACCAGTTCAATTACGATATGCTTTACAGTAAAATATACCTAATAATTACTACTAAGTACATTTTTTGCCAGTTTATAATTTTTGAAGGTTGTTAAAATCATGCACCGGGTTTGAGAGCAGTGGTTCAAAATTGAAAAAGAAATTATTACCGTCTATGTAAATAAAAAAGGTCAAATTCGACAAGTACATTAATTATAAACAAATTATTTTAGCATAGTTACAGAAAATTATATATTCAATTTCATATTTGATCTCTGGGCGATAAATATATACACGACGATTATTAAGTTGCAAATATTGCGGTTTTATTTAATTTTTTGCAACACACCCCAAAACCAACTAATACAGCGTTCTCGTGCTTATCCCAGGGTCAAAAGTTATGCTGTATATGAATAATTCTTTTAGTATTTATATTTAATAGAAAAACAGCCTCGGCCCTCGACCAATGGCTTCGCGAGGTCAGTATTACATAAATATTATTTACCTCTCCAGCCCACTTGGAAGGAAACTAAGTAAATACTTTCGTTTATCATATTTAAAATGCTCTTGGGTATTTTTCTAACTTTTTGACCTGATATAAATCTTCAATAGGGAACTCAAATATTTAATAATTTAACGCTTAAGACAATTTATTTTAATTACTTTTAAAAACTATTATTATAAAAATTATATATATATTTAACAAAACACTACAAATAAAAGTACAAATGAGAAATAATTATTTTTAGGAAAAATAAATTTTAATTCTTAAGTTTTAGGATTAAATTTAATTATTTGTCCAAAAGTGAAACATTAAATATTAAACTATTCAAGGAATGTCTTGTTACATGTCGAATTTTAATAGTCGACTCACTTAACAAAACAATTTTAATTTTTAACTTGTAATTATAAAACTAATCATTAGTTATAAATTTATACTTCATTGGCGAATTGATGTGATTCTACAATTAGCCATTATTTTATATATCTGTTTCTTCATAAACCTCGGGAAAAATAAAACTGTAACACGATCTACATCACTTGAATGATAATATTGTAATATGGATTAAATAATAATTTATGAATGAGTTATATGAGACCTTGACATACATGTTCTTCGCGCGGATTGTGTCATTGTACAGTGTTTTCCATCCTATTAATATAATAGCTTTATAATATAATAATTATAATTTCCATGTTGTATGATAATCAGTTTCGGTCCAAGGCTGGAGGCTGTTATGAGATGAAGATGTGAAAATTCTTTTGGAAGGACGTTTTGTCGTCATGGTTGAATAGCCGATAGATAACGGATTGGAAGTCAGACACGTTTGGCGTGTGAACATTGACATTAGATGATTTACCACTAAAGAATACACAGTAACATGCAGAACTTATGAATCTTTAAACTTTTTCACTATACAGAATGTAATACTCTTAAAATATAATATTAAAACATTAATATTGAGTGTCTTATTTAAAGTTAATTTATTTGAAAAATTGTTACTGAAGCAAAACTTAGATTAAGATATCCCAAAAGATGTCACTTTGATAAATTAATCACAGCTTATTCATAAGAATCCACTATAAATATGGTCTAAGGTGTTTATTATTTAAATTAAAAAACAATTTTTGAAATCTATCACAACAAATTTTAATATCAAGTCAAATATAAATCAAATTACACTAAGTTAGCTATACCACAAGAAAATTAACTAGCTTCATTGACTTCAAATACCCAGGTAATCAGGCGTGAGTATTCGATACTGACATTAATTTAACAATGATAAAAAGGATTTTCACAAGATTCGGATTTATAAATTTGAATATTTATAGCAGGACCAAAACATTGAAGGTTGTCAATATAATGCGACATTTTATTGTAAAATTACACATTTTATCATATTGCATACCAAGTATTTACATGCATGCGTATCATTGAAAATATTGTTGTTGATTCAATTTCATTAACATCCAAGGCCTCAGTATTATAAGACCCCCAAGGATTTAATGACCTAAATTCTTTGATAGAACTGACCATTTCTAGGGATTCAATTTGATACATGAAGAAAATGTTCGTTAATAAATCCTATCTACTAATACCGATTAACAAATATCATTTTCTTATGTAAACATAGCCATATTAATGCAATTACATTTTTGTTTAAGGAGGCAAACATACGGTAATTATATAGTTCAC